TGATTCACTCCCCAAGTGAGCACAACGGCCAATGCTCCGAAGTCAGGAGCCTCTTCCGGGTCTCCCACATGAGTGCAGGGTCCCAAAGTTTTGGGCCATCCTCGACTGCTTTCCCGGGCCACAGGCAGGGAGCTGGATGGGAAGTGGGGCCGCCGGGATCGGTGCCCATATGGGATCCCAGGCGTGCAAGGCGAGGACCTTAACCACTGCACCATCACGTGGACCCATACCATAACATTCTTAACCACTGGCTTAACAAACATATTAACCATATTTAGGGGCCACCACAGTTGTATAGCAGGCTAGTTCACCTGCAGCACCTACATCCTATGTGTACACGCATTTTAGTTGTGGTTGTTCTACTTCTGAACCGGCTCCCTACTAATGGCCTAGGAAAACAGCAGAGGATAATAATCCAAGTCCTTGGACCTCTGCACACATGTGGGAAACCTCGAAGAAGCTCCTGTCTCATGACTTTGGATTGGCTCAGATCCGGCCATTGTGGTCATTTAGGGAATGAACCAGCAGACATAAGAGTGCTCTGTGTGTGTGTGTGTGTGTGTGTGTGTGTGTGTGTGTGTGTGTAACTCTTTCAATTAAAATCAACGAATCTTTAAAAACAAAGTTTAAGAAAACCATATTTTCAGCAATACTGATACACACAGGCGTTTCTTTTTTTGTTTTTTAAATTTTAGCTCCCACATATAAGGGAGAACATATGATTTTTTTAATGATATAATTTCACAGGTTCAGAGATTTCCCATCCCCTTTCTTCCCCCCCTTTTTATATTTTTATTAGATCCAGCTTATTTCAGTTGAGTTCATTTTTGCTGTACATGATAGAATTTCATTCATTTTGTAGCTGAATAATACTCCATCTGTATCTATGCCTCAATTTCTTTATCCATTCATCTCTTGAAAGACATCTTGATTGATTGCAAATTTTGGCTATTGTGAACTGAGTTGCTATAAACATGGTAGCACAGGTACCTCTTTGATTTATTGTGTTCAAGTCTTTTGGCTAAATGCTACCCAATAGCAGCATTACTGGATCATGTGACAAGCCTGTGTCTAATTTTTAAAAGAAATATCCATACTGTTTCCACAATGCCAACTCATATGTCTCTGTTTTTAACTTGAGTTCTGCAGTATATACTGGGCCATAATGATGAGCCACCCTAAGCCCTTACCGATGAGAAAACCTAAATTCTAGGGTGGGACTTCTCCTGCTTTTAATCCCTAGATTCATGGATTTGACAGTTTCTAGATAAGAAACAAGTTCAGATTAAGATTTGTAAAATTTGACTAGTTACATGTTTTCAGAACTTTTAACAGGAAAGCTAGTACATAGTACAAATTGTACTGATAATGATTCAAGAAAATGAAAGTACATCCTTAAATGAACAATAATTATAATTACTCAAACCTTTTTTTTTAGAATGTTTTCATTTTTATTGAAAATCAGATTTATAGAGAGAAGGGGAGACAGAAAGATTTTCTGTCCGCTGGTTCACTCTCCCAATGGCCACAACGACCAGAGCTGAGCCACTCCAAAGCCAGGAGCTTTTTCCAGGTCTCCCACTCGAGTGGCAGGGCCCAAGTACTTGGGCTGTCCTCTACTGCTTTCCCAGGCCACAAGCAGGGAGCTGGATGGGAAGTGGAGCAGCGGGAACACGAACCAGGGCCTGTATAGGATCCCAGCACATGCAAGGTGAGGATTTAGCCACTAGGCTGTCGTGCCAGGCCCACTGCTGAAGCTTTTGAAAAGACTGTTTTAAATTCTTTAGTGTTTCTTTTACACCTGCATTGCCATAGCACAATCTTTACGTTGCTATTAGATACACTGATGTTCTTGACATTTGAACTGTCAGGTTTAATAATGATCCAGGCAGATCTTTAAAAGGGAATGTTCATATTCTTTTATCTAAAAATGAGTTTCTATAGAAATTAAGCAGGAAAAATCCTTTTTCAAACTCTAAAACACTTGTTCCCATCTCTAACTTCAGAAAATATGCTTTCATACAGTGGTAGAATGTCAGTTCCCTAGTTAGTAGTAATTCACCTTTCCTTAATATTTTGGTGGATTTCAAATGTACATACTGTTGCATATAGACAATTATTTTGCTCAGTAACTCTGGTCCTTTTCAGCCACCTTCTTCACAGGCATTTCACAGAAACTGAAGCGAGTTTCTGATAAGGCAGTTTCCGGAGCAAGTCAGCATGATTCTTACTGTTGACGTCCTGTACATATGGTTATTACAAATTTTGGGAAGATCACAAACACATTTCACTGCATACTTTGTAGCTAAATATTTTACTTTCTCAAACTTTAATTTACTCCCAGCAGGAAGCTTTTTCAGAGTCTGTGAAGTGATAAAATAGTAATTGCTAATGAACTTCAATGTTCTGTGTAACCCTCCAGGCCCATTCATTATTTGGCCCTGGGCCTAAACTCTAGTACCAAAAGTTATAGTTTTGTCTGAACTGATAAATTCTGGTCCTTAGATTTGGGTTTCTCTGTACGTAAGTTAGTGAGACACATAGCCCATGTCTTGCCATCTATTCCAATTTAAGTGTTGATCTTGATAAACATTGCACAAGAAACTGTTAGCAAGACAAGGGCTTCTGTTTGGGTGCTAAGAACTCATTAGTGAGTGAGATATCATGATCTGATAAGAAGTGACAGTTCATGCTTTGAATACATGCATATACAAAGTGGCAGATGAGCTGATTTTTCTCACCTTTGTACTGGAAAGTATAATCTCGGAAGATTTGAATGCAGTATTTCCACCAGCAGCTTTATTCTGCTTTCTTTAACACACCTATTTTAAAAAATGGAATGTGACCTCCAAATGGAACTGTGCTGACATCCTTGAGGCAGACTGATAGAGCACATCCGTGTCGCTGTGTGTGGTTATATTTGAACTGGGGCCAGAGACTAGCAGAGGGCAGGCCTGTCTGCGGGCCATGTGAGACAGTCTGTTCCCCCAATAGCTGGTCACATTTCCTTGTTTTGCCTTTGCACTGGGGAGGAGGGGAACTAATAAAAAGTGCTAAGCTGGGATAACTAATTCCATTAGAAAAAGAAAACAAACAATAATAGATTAATTTCTGGGTTTCCTCTAGGGAAAATTTATTAACATTTTTCCCTCTCTGCAGCATATCACAGCTTTACAAATCCAAAGACATTTCAAAGAATTCATGGGAAATGAAATTTTAAAATAAGTTTATTTTCATGCCAAAAAAAGTTGAAATCCATGCACAATACAAAGTCTTTAAAATGTTCATGAGAAAATGCATATTATGAAAGAATGACACTTGGGTTTCAAATATTTTGGCAACAAAATAATTATAAATATCTTTTATTTCTAATTTTTATGAACTTTTTGAAGCTCCCTTGTATGCTTCAAGTTTCAGGAAAACAAATACCAAAATGAGAAATATATTTTGTCATTCCATTCCACCTCAGATTTAAGCTTCTAGAGCAAGGGTTGACAAGCTACAGCCCTCAGGCCAAAAGCAGCCAGTCACCTGTGCTTGTAAATAAGGTTTAATCAGACACGGCCATGCCCATTCTTTGATGGATTGTTAATGTCTGCCTCTGCACAGCACAGCAGTTGAGTGATTGTGACAGAGATGGAATGGCCCACAAAGCCTAAAATATTTTCTGTCTGGCCAGGATAGGATTGGTATCCTAACATCCTTTAATATGCTAAGGCTTGCAACTGACAGGTTGATACTGTACAAATCATGTTCATTGTATTTTTCCCTTGCAGCATTGTCTACAGTTTTTTTTCTCCCAAATATTTACCAAAGGTGTATTGCTGACGTGAAGTTTTGTGTGATAGTGAACTGTGGTTCAAGCAGTGATCTGGTGTTCAACAAAAGCACAGCGTGTTAGCATGTCACCTTCTAGACTTCGCTGCAAAGAAAATAATCTGTGGGGGGTGGTGGGACATTTAATCCATCAGAGTAGCTGGAATTAACTCCCAGTTCCAGCTCCTGCTCAGCTCCCCCCAGAGCAGACCCTGGGAGGCAAGAGTGATAGTTCAAGTACTTGAGTTCCTGTCACCATGTGGAAAACCTGGATTATGTTCCCAGAGTGAGCCAGTTGGTAGGAGTGCGCTGTCTGTAATAAAATTTTTTAAATAAATTTTCAAAGACCTACATATAATCAAAATGTATTTCTTAATTTTGAGATAAAGTTGTTTTCTTCCATAAGCAGAATCAAGGGAAAATGATATTTGGTTTCTAAAGAAACAAGCTAAAGAAGTATTCTTTTATAACTGTCCTTTCATAATCTACATACTAGTTCAAATAGTTTTAAATAAATGTTTTATTTAGGAATAATTTTGCAATTACAGAGTAATAATTGTGAAGCACTACGAGGATTTTCCATATACCCCACACCCAATTCCCCCTAATAAACTATACCAGCTTTCCCTATTGTTAATGTCTCTAAAAGAAACACTAAAAATCTGTGTAATCAGCCCCATGCTAGGTGCTTACACCTAATGTCAAAGAACTCAAGAGTCTAGTCATGTTAAAGAGCAGCCCTAGTAAAACAAGCATTAAACTTTTGTGAGAAAATTTGCCCTTTCTCAAGATTTAGGTTTCTGTAAGAATTCTTTCAGGTATGCCTTGGCCAAAAAGTGTTCTCCCATCTTATTTGGTATTCATGTCAATGAATGTTGCTTCGATCAGAACGGGGGGGGGGGGACCTAGTTGCTAAAATTTTGACCAATTTAAAACGCCTAGCAAATTGCCACATGGTCCAAATTTTGGTCTACCTATTTAAAAGTAATCTTTTAGAAGAGTTTGAGACTAATTTTCTGACAAGTTTCATTATTGAGACATTATTAACAAAGGGATTCCACTGAACTCATCAGATTTCCTTTTGGAGCTAAAATATTAGTTAGTGAAATAGTGAATATGTGAAGCTTTGCAGTTTAGCAAAGAATTGTAAGAGTGTTGATTGGATTTTCTTCTTTGCTTTCTAGCTGTATGACAAGATTAACACAAAGTCATCGCCACAGATCAGAAATCCCCCCAGCGATGCGGTACAGAGAGCCAAAGAGGTAAGTGATATCTTTTGTGAAAGTATTTGGTATCATTGCTTTGCTACCTTTATTAAAGACAATATTCATGTCACATAATCAAATTAAACAAACCAATTCTATCCTGGTAGTAGGGGAGAGGTTTGGAAGAACCTTTTTTATTTTAAAACCATTATTTTTACTTATGCAACTAATTAGTGAAGAACATTGAGTGGAAAGAGACAGGACCGTTTCTTAAGCCAGTTGGCTTGGATTCCCTGGCTTTTAATACCGAGAGCCGTTGGCAGAGACCTGGTTTTCTCTGGGTAGGGAGAATGACAGTAATCCTGCCAGGCTCCAAAGAAAAGTGTTCCCAGTTGTTCTCAATTAAGTGACTATTCTAGCTAGTACTCATCTTTAAATTTTTATTCAAGCCTTTGTCATCCTTCTCAAAGGAATTTACAATACTTGTTAAAATGTAAGGAAGCTGTTATTAATGTCTAGTGCAGATTGATTTTTGATGACAAGCTTAGAAGAGTATTTGTGGCACTATTCTCATTCAATTAATTAAGTTACTTGAACCTGTAATAGATATGTGTCATAAGCTTGTCACTTTTGTATCTGTCTACAAACTTTTGATTTATAGTTGAGTAATACAAAACTACTATGGGAATTTGTTTCCCTTACCATCAATATCGTTTTCATATATAAAATTTTAACAAAATAATTTTTCAAAATAGTTGTTTTGCCTTCCATAGAAATCTACTCATAAGTTTTAATTTACAAGAATTTCACATTTTGTAAATATTGTGTTACACTTGCACTATTGTATATCTTGCTTATTTTTCAGGTATTGGAAGAAATTTCATGTTACCCTGAGAATAATGACGCAAAGGAGCTAAAGCGTATTTTAACACAACCTCATTTCATGGTAAGTAACAAGGTTCCAAGGAACTAAAATTCCACTTTCAGAAAGTTTTTAGTAATCCTTATAAGGTATAGCCAGTTTTATCAAATACACGTTTATCCATACACAATCATGCATTGCTTTAACAATGGAGATACATTCTGACAAATGCGTCCTTTGAGCATTTCATAACTGAGCATTGTAGAGTATACTTACACAAGACTAGGTGATATAGAGTTTGTGATATGTATATTATATTATATTATAGTATATTATATTATATTATATTATAATGCTATTTTATTTTTCATTATTATATATGTGTATATATATATTGATGTAAAAAATTTTAATTGTGTACATGGCCTTTTCATAATATACATTTTTCATACACTTTTTAAAAAATCATGCTTGAATACTATCAGCTGCTAAATATAAAAATGAAAATAGGCACAAGACAGCTGAATGGTACCCTATAACCATTTTAAGGTGTATAGCAGCCAGCAGTGTATAAGCTAAAATTGAAATGTCAATGAAGTAGTCACAGGATGTGGTTAAGAACTTGCATTTTCTAACATATTGGTCACTCAATACCATGTCAGTTAACTCCATGATGTTGTAACTTGTTGTTGATGTTGAAGGAAGCATGACTGGTTATGAGCTGTACTACTGTAACAATGTGGAGGAATCCAACATGGGGGGAGGGCTTTTTGGAGGGTTTGGGGGAATCCCAGAGCCTATGAAACTATGTCATAAAATGAAATTTTTAAAAAAAAGTTTTCATATACACGAATTTTGAAAGTAAACTTATCTTTTAATTATTTTTCCATAACCTTTTGGAAGTATTCTTGTGTTACTCAGAGCCTATTCTCTGCTGGTGGTAAATCAGCATCATTTGTTTTCTCACATTATCACTTTGATAGCCCATTTTTGCCTAGTGTGTATGCCTTTAAAATTAGCCAAGTTGTAACTTTGATAAGCTTTTTGATTAAATGAGTTAATTTCATACACAAAGATTTATACTGTCAAAGCAATTCTAATTGCATTTCATCCTCTACAGGTAATTACCACACAGATCACAGAATAAAATAGAACTGAATTTATAGTTAGCATGTAAGAGAATCTAATCTGTATGAATCTCTAAACATACTGATTCTCAGCTGCAAATTTTCTTTAAAACAGAGGTGTTCAAATATTTATGCTTATTTTTAAAAAAATTTTTTTATGATGGTACAAAAGTGTCATGAGTGGAAAGACATACCTTTTTAGAGAAACAAGGAACATTTATTAGCCAAGTTCACCAAGATGAATATGCACATATCAATACAAAGAAATCACTTTCCTTTTGTTAATGGGCTTTGCATGAAGAATCCACAATAATCATTGTCAACTTATTTTTCATTTAGGCAAGGACTCCAGAAAAACAGATAGTAACAAAAACATTAAGTACATTTAGATTTTGAATTCTATATCACACATGATCATTTGGAAGATTATATTTTCCAGGCACATTTAAGTGTGCTTAATTTCTTTCACTAAATCCTGTGTTATAAATTATCTTTATCCAAAAGTGTTATTGTTGATACTGTTGATAAAAAGTATTTGCTCAACATACCAGGTTTTTTTTTAAGATGTACTCATTTATTTACCTAAAGGGCAGAGTTTCAGGGAGAGAGATCTTCCATCTGCTGGTTCACTCCCACAATGGCTGCAATAGCCAGAGCAGGGCAAAGTCAGGAACCAGGAGCTACATCCTGGTCTCCCACATGTGTGACAGGGACCAAGCACTTGGACCATCATCTGCCACTTTCCCAGGCACACTAGCAGAAAATTGAATCAGAAGTTAAGCAACCAGGGCTCAACCTAGGCACTCCAGTATGAAATGAAAGCATCCTAAGTAGTGGCTTAAATTACTGCTCCACAATGCTGGCCCCAGTACACCAGTTATTGCACTATTTCTGGTTTTTTTAGACTTATTTTATTATTTTACTGGAAAGGCAAATATACAGACAGAAGATAGAAAGATCTTCAGCCCACTGGTTTACTCCCCAAGTGGCCACAACAATCTGAGCTAAGTCAATCCAAAGTCAGGAGCAAGGAGTTTCATCCAGATCTCCCACATGGGTGCAAGGTCCCAATGCTTTGGGCCATCCTCGACTGCTTTCCCAGGCCACAAACAGAGAGCTAGATGGGAAGCGGGGCTGCCAGGATTAGAACCTGTGCCCATATGGGATCCAAGCGGTTGCAAGGCAAGCACTTGAGCCACTAGGCTACTGTTTCCAATGCAAATTTGCCAGTTCTATTCATCAGTGATTCTTTCTGCTAAATTATTTGAAATTATTCTATGTCAGTTTATACAAGCGTACCTTTATAATATCAGACAATTACCTTCACCTCAGGCAATCAACAAAAATATCCGTTCATTGAGTCAGTCTGACTCATTCATTGATTTCATTAAGTATCCTTCTGTCAATGACTGTTACAAGGTAATTGGTTCCTAGTTGTGTGTAGATGTGAGATGAGCTTTGAATTCACCTTATATGACAGATATCTTTGAGAGGTGAAGAATAACCTTCAATGTGTTTACATAATAGATTTCTGTTGGGATAGCAATGTCATTGTTTCCTTCCTTCCTACAATTCCAGGCCTTACTTCAGACTCACGACGTAGTAGCCCATGAAGTTTACAGTGATGAAGCATTGAGGGTCACTCCTCCTCCCACTTCGCCCTATTTAAATGGCGACTCTCCAGAAAGCGCTAATGGAGACATGGACATGGAGAATGTGACCAGAGTCAGGCTGGTGCAATTCCAAAAGAATACGGATGAACCCATGGTAAGCAGGAAAAAAAAGTTTTCTCTAATCTTGTGGCATCCCAGCATGGTTGGATCAGCGGACTTCACTCTATACTTCTTGCTCAAACCTATTTTTCCAGGAGGTGAGGAGCAAAGGAGGACACCGAAGTTCTAAAGAAATCAGTTTCCAGATCTTCATTCCTCCCTCCACTCCCATCTCCCTCACAGCATGTGCCCGTCCTAGACTTGTTCTACCTAACACCATGTCTTGCGATGCAGCTTTTGCTCACCCCACCTTTCACAGATGCTTCTCAGCTTTAAAAGAGAGAATGAGAGAGAGAAGTGTTAGAATACTCCAAAGTACAATAAGCCTCTGGGGGTAGCGAACAAAGGGACAGTTTCAAGTGTTGATATTGGTATTCAAATGAATTGCTATGACAGTGTAAAAAATCATTTTATAAATGTGTTCCTTTTCATACCTTTTGCCTTCAACAAAATTAGAAGACTAATTCAGAAAAGATCTAGAGGATTAACATTGCCATGTTAAAACTCCCATAATTCACATCTACCTTCTTAATTTGAAATAATTTGCTCAGTGACTAGGAGTAGAGCTGGAATTGAATTCATGTGAAAGCTTACTGCATGCTCACAGAGTTCTCCTAGGTCAGGGAAAGACTCCTTAATGTTAAGTGAATAGAGCAGGGAAGAGGGAATGCCATTCAGGCAGACCAAATAACATGGGAGGAAAAACATGGTAGGAAAAAGGTGCTTAGCACAGTTTCAAAATGAGAAGAAGGCACCGTGGTTGGTCCACAGGCAGCCAAATGAGTGGGAACAGCAGAAGCACAAAGACACATAAACAATTCTGGTCATCTTAAAAGCAGTGAGAGACTATGAGAAGGGTTTTAACAGAGAGATAAGATCAAATTTTTATTTGAGAAATACCACTCTGGAGACTGTATTTGAGGGGACTTAAGTGAGTATGTGTAGGGAAATTACTAGCAAATAGGCTGTTGGTATTGCAGCAGTATAAGCACAAGATAATGGAACTTTGAGCAAGGGCCAAGACGGGAAGAAGTAAGCAGATTTAAGAAATAGCAAATAAGTACAATCAGCAAATTGTACTTACTTAGTAAAGGATTAATAGAGATTAATAATATGGCATACAGTGTTTATAAACAATATAGTTAATAAAAATAAGCTAAATCTTTAATGAAGGATTGACACAGGGGGCAAGCAGCTTTGTGTCTTAAAAGCATGGGTGGCAGCAGCCATGCAAATCACTTCACATTCAGTGGGCATTAGTGTGCTCATCTGCAAAAGCAGAGGAAATGATCCCCAATATTCCTCCTAGCTCTGAAAGTCTAACATTCCATTTATCCATTTCATAGATTGCATCATCTGTCCAGCACTTGCTTCGTAAGCCCATACTGTGTGCAAATCACTGTGTTACATGCCAGAGCAGCAGTGGCACATAAGAAGTTCACTTTCCACAGGCTGGCTCCATTAAGCAGACAGACTTGTAACTTAGTTCTGCCTGGGTATGGCAAAGCTAGCAAGGGGAAGACCGTGACAGAGAAGCAGGTGCAAGGGGTGATGTGCAGCCAAGCAACGTAGAATGTAAGATGGAGGGGACCCAAAAAGGAGGGCCCTGAGTGTCCATCATCTTGTTCTGAAGCAACCTGTTAGCTGTTGGATCTGTGGTATGAGAGCTGACCACCTAGGAACAGACCAGGTAGAAGAAGAAAGCTAAGATGATCGCAAAAGGGAAAAGGCTTTCTCGAAGGAGACTCAAGGCAGTTTTTGCTTTCTACAAAAGTGATTATTATATTTAATCGGACTCTTTCTGCTTGCTTAGTTGCCTTACTTGACTAAGTACTCACTGCAAGATAGCCCTATAGAATATCATTTGGTTTTTGGGCCCCATACACTGTACCCATTCTCCTCTCCCATTATATCCTATGTTTCCCCATTTGCAACATTATATTCAGTTATTTTTCTATTGATTTGGACTGCCATAATTATAAGCGACCTAAAAAAAACCTTGAATATACCAGGATTATACCCTCCACTACTACCACCCCATCCGCAAGCTGGTAGGTTCAGGAGTAAGCACATAACTCGAGCTGAGCTAATTCCTTCCCTGGAATTTGCAGATTTAGAGAAAACTTAAGTCAGTTCATCTCTACAGAGAAATGTTTAGGACAAAGTAATAGATGTTAACTTCAGTTTGTTTGAGGTGAATGAACTATATAACTAATCATGAAAGATCACATCCGCCTCATTCATTCACAACTGTCCCTAACAGAATGTCTGCCTCATAACAAGTTAACAGTAATGTTGGTGGGATGCATAATTGTATCAGTTTCACAGGTAGGACAGCCTTTGTACCATCATTTCCCTTATAAAATTAGATTTGACTTACACAATCAGGTACAGTATGTTTCTAGGAACACTTCTCTGAGAAACCATTGTGCTAATTGTACAAATTGGAATCAAAACTTAAATATTACAACTGAATGTTAGAACTAGAAATATTTTTGATGAACCCATTTTTCACATTGCACACCTACCAGTTCCAAGAACTGCAAAACAGGAACCATGCAAAAAATCATCTTTTGTGGAATGATCCAAATAAGTCAAAGTCTCAGATATTTTCATGTAACTTTCTGACAGCTTTTTCTTCAATGAAAAAGACAAAGATAGTCTCTACCCTCAATAGTCTCAAATTCAAGATCACTGTCCATTGAGGGAGCTTGTTCAAAAGTATGGATTTCCAGGCTCCAGTCAAGGCCCTGAATCTAAATGTAAAATTAATTTAAAAGCAATATTGCTTAAATGTTCCCTCTGTGATTCTTAGGATCAACCAGGTCTAGTACCAAAAAAAAAAAAAATTGTTTAATTCTAATAGCTTTCAATAGTAACTAGAAAACAATATGTGATCTATTTACTCTCTAGTATTCTGGCATTAAATATGACTATAGAATTTCCATTTCTCACCATGATGGAAGAACAGTGACCAGGTTTAATTTTACCCTCTCATGTGAAACAACCAAAAACATACACAAAATTACATGGGGAAACGAAAATCAAGAGCAACGCTTTGAACATCTATCCTCAAAGGATAGCTAGCCATCTCTATGAGACAGAAGGCATGCCAGGTGATCCCCATGACTGCTTTACCTAACTGCCTTGAGTTTCCAGGCCACATCGTAGGGAAGGAAATGGAGGCAGAGCAAGCTGATTCCTGCATTGAGGAAAACAGTGGGGAGTCTAGACAGATAAAGGGAACTGATGCTCACAGGCGCGAGTGTGGAAGAGAAAGGAGAGCTCAGAGATCCATGTAAGATCCCACAGGTATTCCCCAGAGTGCTGACCAGCGATAATCCACGTGTGTCAGGAAGGAACCATGCAGAAGCATTAGAGGAAGCACTGCCTGATGCTCACCACCTGTCCACGCCAGACAGGAAAGCCTCCCATTTCATGGGGTGTTGTAGAATGCCAGGGAGGGTCTTGCCTCAGACCAAGAATTGTTCCAAACCCTCCTGAACAACTCCTTAAAGGGTCAAAGTAATTCCAGAAGCTGATCTACATCTCAGAACGAAGGTTAAGAATGTTCATGGGAATGCAGACATGTTCAACATTCAGCAAAATCAAATGTACAATATCTGCATCTGATAAAGAAGCTACATGCCTAGTTACCTTTGATTTTTTTTTAAAGGCCAGAAAATGTGAAAGATAGTGTGGAAAATCATCCATCAAAAATGACATAGCTCTGCCACAGATATTCGAATTAGCTGAAAAATGTACTATGGGATTAATGGCAGATGAGATATTTCAGAATAGTGAACTCAAAGTGATAGCAACATTTCATTTCAAAGTGAAACAGAGAAAAGTAATTTTCAAAAATGAGAAGGACATTACTGGGCTGTGGGATACCTCAAGCAGCCTAATATGTGTAGTTGGTCGGAGCCTATAGGGGAGGAGAGAGAAAGGAAGAAAAAGAATTATAATAGATGACAATATCCTAAACTTGATGAAAACCATAAACACAGACCTAAGAACCACAGTGAACCTGTGCACACTAAAAGAATAAAGAAAACAATACCAAGATATATCATAATTAAACTCCTGAGAACCCATGATAAAATCTTAAAAACAGCCAATGAAAAGGAAATATTATATAAAGAGTAAAGATAAGATTAATATCTGTTTCTTTTTAAAAAAACATATTTATTTACTTACTTATTTATTTAAAATGCGGAGTTACAGAGAAGGGTTCTGGGGAGAGATAGGTCTTCCATCTGCTGGTTCACTCCCCAGTTGGTTGCAATGGCTGGGGCTGGGCCAGGCCGCAGCCAGGAGCCAGTAGTTTCATCTGGATCTCTCATGTCAGTAGCAGGGGCCCAAGTACTTGGGCCATCTTCTACCAGGGAGCAGTATTCCTGGATCTCCTAACAAGGAGTTGGATTGGAACTGAAACAACAGAGACTTGAATTGGCCACCATAGGGGATGTAGCAGGTTGCTTTTTAACTAGCTATGCCACAACACCAGCCTCTGATATCAATTACTTACCAGAAACTTTACAAACAAGAACTGTGTCCTTTTTTTTAAGAATGATTTTTTAATTAGAAATACAGATTTGCAGAAAGAAAAGACAGAGAGAAATATTCCATCTACTGGTTCACTTACTCCCCAAATGGCCACAATGGCTGGAGCTGAGCCAATTCAAAGTCAGGAGCTTCCTCTGGATGTCCCAATTGGATGCAGGCTCCCAAGGCTTTGCACCATCCTGTGGGTCTTTCCCAGGCCATAAGCAGGGAGCTGGATTGGAAGTGGAGCAGCAGGGACTAGAATCACTGCCTATGTGGGATCCCAGTGCCATGGATGTAAAATTAGCTTGTTCAGCCTCTACACTGGACCCAAGAATGATATCTTTAAAATGTTTTTTAAAAAACCTCTCAATTTAGAATTCTAAACCCAATAAAGATATCTTTCAAAAACAAAGGCAAAAACATTTTTACATGTACCAAAACTGAAAGAACTCAGCAGATTACACTGTAAGAAAGAAAGAGAAACCCTTGATCCTTCCCACCCTGATCAGTCAGTTATGTAAACATCATCAAAAATAATTTTTTTTAAAAAAAAGAGCACACACTCTTATGGTTCCATTTCTAGGGAATGCAAATTCATCTTCGTGATCACTTGGGTATATGGAAAGGAGGGAATGGATGGGGATAAATGGATGCCTGCATGTGAAGATGATATATTCACTGTCCTAATTGTGGTGAGTTTCACATAGGTATACATAGGTCAGGTTTATCAATTGTGCATTTTAAATACGCATTCAGCTACACAAAAACTGATTTTAAAGAACAGGGAATTTAGCATAGCATGACATATATGTCATGATGTGCATGACATATTAGAATAACAGAGTTCATTTAGCAGCACCAGCTCCCAACTCCAGCTTCCTGCAAATGGGAGATCTGTCTATTTCTTTCTCTCTCCCTCTCAAATTAAAAAGAAAACCTATAAATTTTAGAAAGCAATCAGAAAAATGGAAAGTGATCATTGTTATTAAAAAGCAGGATGTGAAATATATATATATATATTATAGCAATTAAAACTTCCAAACAGTGTATTTGTCTAAGGCAATTTTTTGTGTGTGAAATAATGGTCAGCTCCATCTTTCATATTTTTTGTAAGAAAATTTATATTAATTCTATAGTAACTGAAAAATTAATTGATAAAAAATCAAATACAATCATAAATGACAGTATTTGTACATCACTCTGTGGAACTATGACAAAACATATGCTGAACTGTAAGTCAAAAGTGTAGTCATTGGGGCCAGTGTGATGGTATAGTAGGCTAATCCTGCACTTACGATGTGAGTATCCCATATGACAACAGCTCATGTCCCAGCTACTCCATTTCTCACACAGCTCCCTGCTTATGGCCAGAGAAAGCAGCAGAAAATACCTCAAATCCTCAGACCTGGCACTCTTGTGGAAAGTCTGTAGAAAGTTCCTAGCTCCTGGCTGCAGAGCAGCTCAGCTCTGGCAGTTACTGCCATTTGAGAAGTGAAGCAGCAGATGGAAGCTCTCTTGTCTCTCCTTTCTCTTTAAAATCTATTTTACAGGTTAAAAAAAAAAACTAAAAAAGAACAATCATGAGGCTGGCATGGTGAGTAAAGCCACTGCCAGCACCACCACCATTCCATGTGAGCCCTGGTTCATGTTCAGTTGCTCCACTTTGATCCTGGTTCCTGCCAAGGTCCTAGGAACAGCAGCCAAAGATGTCCCAGGGATTTGGGCCCCTGCTACTTACATGGGACATATTTTCTTTAATGTTTTCCCAATGTCTTTAATTAAAAGTATCTAAAGCAAAATAAGAAATTCAAGAAGCAGCACTTTCTCATAATAATTCTGTTTTTACTATTTCGCAGGGAATCACTTTAAAAATGAATGAACTGAATCATTGTATTGTTGCAAGAATTATGCATGGGGGCATGATTCACAGGCAAGGTAAGCTTCGTTTATAGTTCATTCTTTGCCTTTGTTTTCTTTTTTTCCTGTAGCCTACCAAAGAAAATATTTTTTGATCCATATAAAAGATCTATTTGAATTATTTTCGGTTTTAATTACTGCTGGCCTCCGCTTATTCTGCTCCATCTGAACGTGTTCCAATGTAGAGATAATGATGAGAGTGGATAACAGCTCTTCTGTTCGGAGCATTGTGGATCCCTCTGTATTAACTATGATTTATTAGAGATTGCGGGAGATAAAGTATCATATCAGGAATGTAGGAGAGACATATGTTCTGGAATGATAGTTGGATGGATAGATATAAAATTAAATAACAGCTTGAGAATTGCCCTCATTCAGGAATGAGATGCTATTGATAAATTAGGACATCATAGAGTTGGGTAAATATATTAACAATTAAATAAAAATATCAAATCAGTGATTAAATTCCTAGTACCTGCGGCAGTAACGTGTAATCATTCTGAGGCGGGAGATCACTAAGAATTGAAATGGATGAAGAATGATGTTTTGAGAAAGAAGTTCAGACAATTCTCAAGAATGGCTGAGATTTAAGACATGTAAATCTAGGCTTCTCTTAGAAAGCACTGAAGTTAAATGCACTTAGAATACAGGGAATGTTCCAAAAATGGCTCTCCTGGCAGGCTACTTACTTTGAGATAGTTATTTTTGTACTTAAAAACCTCTTTTCTTATCCCCAGAGAGCAGGAAGTAAGACATTTGAGTGCCGCCTTCTCTTTGGAGGAACCACAGTGAATACAAAATGCTGCCTCGCAGCGTTGCTCCTTTCAGAGGAATCTTTTTTTTAAAAAAAAAAGATTTATTTTTATTATTTTTTTTTTATTGGAAAGGCGGATATACAGAGAGGAGAGACAGAGAGGAAGATCTTCCGTCCGATGATTCACTCCCCAAGTGAGCGCAACGGCCGATGCTATGCCGATCCTAAGCCAGGAGCCTCTTCCGGGTCTCCCACGTGGGTGCAGGGTCCCAAAGCTTTGGGCTGTCCTCACTGCTTTCCCGGGCCACAGGCAGGGAGCTGGAAGGGAAGCGGGGCTGCTGGGATAGAACCGGTGCCCATATGGGATCCCGGGCGTGCAAGGCGAGGACCTTAACCACTGCGTCACCACGCTGGGCCCTCAGAGGAATCTTTATGGGCTTAGAGGTGATCAGCACTCACATGGAAGGATATTTGGAATTAAATTCCAGTCTATATTTTTTTTCCTGTGTTAATTTTGATAATTGACTACATGCTCAATAAAATGATGCTCACATCATCTCTTTAAAGTCTTGTTTCATTCCTTCACTGGCTAGAATTTGTAGACTTTAGCAAGTGGTATGATAGACATCCTTATCCTAGTGCTGTTTGTAAAAGGAATTGGTCCAATGTTTTCCTATTAAAAGCAGTGTGTACTGTAGATTTTTAGTATACATCTCATTTTAGGACTAAGGAAGTTTCTTAAATATTCTTAGTCACTAAGCATTTTAATTGTGAGTAGCTTTTGAAGTTTATCGGATGAATTTTCTGTGTCCTTTGAAACAATCTTGTCTTTTCCTGTCACCTATTAATGTGATCAATAACTTTAAAGATGTCCAACTCACCCTTTTATGTTTCTCAACCAAACCCAGGTTAATTATCATGCTTTCTCTTCATTGTGGACTGCTCAGTTCTGTGTGCTGACATTTTGTTTAGGACTTTGATATTTGCCTTTATCAGTGAGTCTGGCGTGTAGTTAGTTTTGCTTTCCTGTGTTTCTCTAATTTTAGTTTCATAGTCACTGCAGCCTCCAGAAACCACTTGGACAGTGTCTTCTCACCAGTTCTCTGAAAGACTGTATAATATGGGAACGATTTGTACTTTGAAAACTTCATGCAATTTGCCTATGAAAGTATCAGGACCTGTTGTTTTGGTCTTGTTTCTCTCTCTTTTTTTTTTTAAGAGAAATTTTATTTTTGTTTTTGCATCTGTTTCAGTTTCCTTAAAAAATTCTAAGCTTTTAAATATCATTGCACAAGGAGTCTTCACCCTTTCCTCTGTGCTGTCACTGTGTCCTTTGTGTTTTATGTGGCCCTTCCTTTTTTCCTCTTGATAATCCTTGTGAAAGGTTTATTCAAAAACCTATTTGGGATTTTTCTTTTTCATTTTATCCCTTGTATGTTTATTTTCTTTCAATTTTTTTTTATGATCTTAATTCTTAGAATCTCCTTTCTACCTCTGTTGGTTTGGGGCTGACTTTTAAAGTTAGACATGGAGTTCATTTATTTCCATTCCTTCTTTTTATTTAAAAGATTATTTTTTTACTTGAAAGTTTGAGTTATAGAGTGAGAGAGAGAATCTTCTATCCACTGATTTACTCCCCAAATAGCCGCAATGGCCAGACTAAGACTGGTCCAAAAAGGGCAGGAGATTTGTCTGAGTCTACCACACAGGTACAACACATCAAGGACTTGAGCCATCCTCCACTGCTTTGCCAGGTCATAAGCAGGGAGCTGGATTAGAAGTAGAGATGGGGCCAGCATGATGGCTCAACGGGCTAATTCTCTGCCTTGTAGCACTGGCATCCCATATGCGCACTGGTTTGTATAGTGGCTGCTCCACTTCTGATACAGCTCCTGGCATATGACCTGGAAAGGTAGTGGAGGATGGCCCAAAGCCTTGGGACCCTGCACACACATGGGAGTCCCAGAAGCTCCTGGCTCCTGGCTTCAAATCAGCTCAGCTCCAGCTATTGCAGCCATTTGGGGAGTAAGCAATCAGATGAAGATGTTTCCCCCTTTGTTTCTCATTCTCTCTGTAAATCTACTTTTCCAATGAAAATAAATAAATAAATCTAAAAAAAAAAGGATCTGGGACACGAAACTAGTTGCCTGTCTAGGATGCCAGCACCACACCTAGAAGATAAACCTGCTATGCCACCATGCCAGCCCCTCTTTCTTTTTCTAATATAAGGCAATTAAAGTCACCAATTTTATTATAATTCAGTTATAAATATATTTGTATTTCTAATATTTTTCGTTGGCTCTTATTTGGAAGTATTTCTTATAGTCTTTATTCAAGGTGATTTTCTCTATCTCTTTTTTTGTAATTTTCTTTTAACCCAATTGCAATGTGGTCTGTATGACATCATTTCAAGGAGTTGTTCAGAAACTTGCTTAGACACAGCATTTTAATCATTTTTGTAAATGGGGCATGTATACTTAAGAATGTTTCTTTTTTTGATTATTGAACACAGCATTCCCTACAGAATAATTGGTTTAGGGTTGTTTTTTGCATTCATACCGTGGCTACTTTTTTGTTTGTTTGACCTATCAATAATCATTGAAATGGCCTATCATTGTGATAGTTTTTTTGTTTTCTACTTACGGAGTATTCACTTTTGGCTTATGTTATTGAAGTTATTGCATTAGATAGATACAAAAAGCTTAGTGACCAGTTCTGTCCTTACTAGTACTTTCTATGTGAAATTTATTCTAACATATCTTATTCCATCCTTTTATTTCCAATCATTTTATGTGTATGTTTGAGTGTATCTCTTTCAAACATTCATCGGCAAACAGGGATAATTTTAATTCTGTTTTCAGTTTGAATTCTTTCAATTTCTTTTTCTTGCCTAGTAGCTCTAATGAGAAATTCCAATACCATGTTGAATAGTAGTTGTGATAGCAGGCATCCTTGTGTAGTTCCAAATCTTAGGGGAAAAGCATCCAGTCTTTAATTATGATACTAGCATTGGGTTTTTCATATATTGCTTTGTGTTGTAAAATGTTCCTTCTGTGCCTACCTTGCTTAGGATTTTTAGTATGAAGTGATGTTGGATTTAACTAAATCCCTTTTTTGCATCTATTGAGATGATCATATGGTTTTTATTCTTCATTTTGTTGACATGGTGTATCACATTTATTGATTTGTGCATGTTAAACCATTCCTACATAGGAGGGATAAATCCCACCTGACCAGGTGAATGATCTGTCTGATGTAGTGTTGGATTCTGTTAGCTAGTATTTTATTGAGGATTTTTGCATCTATTTTTATCGGGAATATTGGTCTGTAGTTCTCTTTCTCTGTTGTGTCTCTATCTGGCTTTGGTATTAAGGTGATGTTGGCTTCATAGAAGGAGTTTAGATGCATTGCCTCCTTTCTGGTGTTTTTTTTTTTAATTAATTTTTTTTTATTGCAAAGTCAGATATACAGAGAGGAGCAGAGACAGAGAGGAAGATCTTCTGTTTGATGATTCACTCCCCAAGTGGCTGCAAGAGCCGATGCTATGCCGATCCCAAGCCAGGAGCCAGGAACTTCTTCCAGGTCTCCCACACGGGTGCGGGGTCCCAAGGCTTTGGGTTGTCCTAGACTGCTTTCCCAGGTCACAGAGAGCTGGAAGTGGAGCAGCCAGGACTAGAACCGGCGCCCATATGGGATGCTAGTGCGTTCAAGGCGAGGACTTTAGCTGCTAGGCTACGCTGCCGGGCCCTCTTTCTGTTGTTTTGAATAGTTTGTTGAGTTTGGGGTAAGTTCTTGGAATATTTGGTAGAATTCAGCAGTGAAGCTGTCTGGTCCTGGGCTGTTGTTATTGTTGTTGTTGTTGCTGCTGCTGCTGCTGTTGTTGTGAATTTAATTACTACATCCCCATCCTGGATATAGGGCTATTTAGATATTTGATTATCCTATTATTCAATTTTGGTAGATTCTATGTGTCCAGAAATCTGTCCATTTCTACTAGGTCTTCCAATTTGCTGGCATCTGGTTGCTTGGAATAATTCCTGATTATTCTATGTCTGTTCAACTTATCCATTGTTACATTTCCTTTCTTTTCTCTGATTCTGTTGTTTCATATCTTCTCCTTCTTTTTTGACTAGGGAATCAATTTTGTTGATTTTCTCAAAGAGCCAGCTTTTTGATTCGTTGATCTTTTGGTCTCTGGTTTATTTCCTCCCTTATTTTGATTATTTTTTTCTATTAACCTTGGGATTATTTTGCTATTGTTCTTCTAGCTCCTTTAGATATATGGCTAGCCCATTTACCTGGTGCCTTTCTGCTCTCTTGACATAGGCACTAATTGCAATGAACTTTCCTGTTAATACTACCTAGATTTTGTCCCACAAGTTTTGACATAGTGTATTGATGCCTTCATTCATTTCAAGCAATTTTTAAATCTCCTCTTTGATTTTTTCCGTAATCCTTTGTTCATTTAGCAGCATGTTGCTCAGTTTCCATGTGTTTGCATATCTTCTGGGGTATTTTGACTTGTTGTTCTCCAATTTCATTCCATTATGGTCTGAGAAGATGCATAGTATGATTCAGGTTTTTTTTTAATTTGCTGAGACTTGTTTTATGGATGTAATATGGTCAGTCCTGGACTTTTCTATGTACTGATGAAAAAAAAAGTGTGTTCTGTGTCTATAGAACAAAAGGTTCTATAGATAACAAGTACATTTGTTCTATTGTCTTTGTGTTTCTGTTGTTTCCTTGCTAAGTTTTGGTCCCATTGATATGTCTGTTGAGGTTAATGGGGTGTTATGGTTCCCCACTATTACTGTATTGGAGTCTTTTCTCCATTTAAGTCCATTAATATCCATTAATATTTGTTTCATGTATCTAGGTACCCTGGCATTTGGTGGATATGCATTTATTATCAAGATTTCTTCTTGCTGAATAGAGCCCTTAATCGTTTTGTGGCGTCCTCCATCTCTTTTAATGCTTTTCACATTGAAATCTATATTAACCTGATATTAGAATGGCTATACCACCAGCTTGTTTTTACTTTCCTTAGCCTGGAATATCCTTTTCTGTCCTTTCCCTTATCTTTGTTGATGAGATATGTCTCCTATAGGCAACAGATAGATGGGTCCTGTTTTTTTGACCCAGTCCGCTAACCTATGTCTTTTGATTGAGTTTAAGCCGTTTACATTCAGAGTTAGCTTCAACAGGTAGTGATTTGGTCTTGTCATTTTGGCATTGGGTTTTCTCATTGTTTTTAAGTTCATGTTCAATTCATTTAATCCTCAAAGCAATCCTAAGGCATGGGTACTGTTTTCATCTCCATTTATATATCTGAAAAATGAGTCATGTCTCCTTGTAAATTCTCCAAGAATTTAAAGCTAGTGAAGCAAAAAAAACTCAGATCTGAACCCAGTCCGGAACCCAAATGCTTTCTCATTAGCTGTCTCAGAAAAGTAAGCAGATTCCATGGCCATGTATCAATACTGCTGTGCCTTCCCGCAAGTAGGTATATCTCTTTTGGTGAGTTGGCTACATGAGTTAGATAGCCCTGCTGCAGCCAAACCTACATCTTTCTGGAATATTGACCTTCAGTAGTTCACTTAATTTCTCAAATTACATCACTGCCTTGGATTTAATAAATCTGTCTAATTTCCTAGGCACACTTCATGTTGGTGATGAAATTCGAGAAATCAATGGCATCAGTGTGGCTAACCAAACAGTGGAACAGCTGCAAAAAATGCTTGTAAGTAAATGAAAGGTGTTTTTTTTTCCTTTCTGCATTTAACTTCAGTTCTTGCGCTTATTTTTCCATATACAAATAATGGGCATTTCTTTGTCATCAGAGTATTTCTGCTACCACCACTTGGGAGGACTTGAACTTATAGAGTAGTCGTAAAAACTAACAACTAGGAAAATGCTTCCATGCAGTAGTTTGCAAGCCCTTTGGCCTACCTTTGGCAATGTGGGCTTTAACACCCTCCTTTCATTCCTTACTTTCTATTTCATATCTAGCAGATGTGTACAGAAAACCTGTGCAGAGTGTGTGAGTAGACAGACGTGCGAACCGGCTCCTCAGTGACCTCAACTTTCCTGACATCAGCAATGTCAGAAACCACTTTCCTGTTGCTGAGTCACAGCCTGCTGCAGTACATTTGTCTCCAGCACAGAAGGGAGTAAAGTCGTAGCAGACCAGGCCAGTTTGGGCCATACATAACCAATATCTGTGTTCAAATGCAGATTTGGGCCTTTTTTTTTTTAAGATGAATGGCAGCCCCTTATCTGTGTTCATTGTCAGAGAGCCCAAAGGGAAATGTTTCAGACCCCTTGTGCTTCTTCCCATTGCAGCATAGCAGCGGCCCATGTTACGAATGCCTATCTAGTGTGAAATAAGCACCAAGACTCACCGCAGTAATACAGCTGAAATGAACAAGTCAGAAGCAAATTTGATGGAATATGCCATCATAATCTAGCATCCAAAATGTAATTTTTATGTGGTTACTTATTCTGTTGTCTAGTTTAATTTAAAAACATTTACTTTTTGAAAGGCGTGTCACTTGGACCGCTTTGCATCCCTGTCTAAAAAAAAAAAAACACGTAGCCATGGAAGATTTGTGAGGCTGTTGCCATCTGAACGAGGCAGTCAGCCTTCACTTTGCTGGGCTTCTCCCAGGGAGCTGCCTCTGTTGTTAACATTAGCAGCCTCCACTCTCTAAGGAGGCTTGGGTTGAGGACCCTGTGTTCTCAGCGCACTCCAAGAGATTTCCTTCACATGTTGTGAGTACTTTCTCACGTGTTTTGATTGTGAAACTTTTGTTTATAAGCGAGCTCTCCTTTTTCTCTCTCCAGAGGGAAATGCGGGGGAGTATTACCTTCAAGATCGTGCCAAGTTACCGCACTCAGTCTTCATCCTGTGAGGTAATGACTCTTAACAAAGCACCCCCATCTCTCCTGAGTTCTTAACTAACTGTCTGCTGATGGCTGAATGTTTTTGCTTTCTGGGAAATTGTTTCTGCCTGTGCTGTTAGATCACTGCACACCAATTTTACAACAAAGATAACGGAACAGAGTAGGTCCCATCCACCTACTCAGCCCTGCTTCCTTCAGTCTCCCCAGCACTTGAACTTTTTGCAGGCTGAAATCTAAGCGAAATACAGAGAAGCTACAAATAATAGCCTAAGACTCACTCTAGAAAAAAAAAATGAAATCTCTTAGGGGGAAAAAAAAAAAAAACAAAGAACATAATTGCAATGTTTCCAGGAAGTACATTCACTTCCCTTGCTAGGAAATCACACAGAGAGTTCTTCTTTCCAAGAATCTGAGAAGTAATCTATTTGCATTGAGATAGAGCTGCTCAAATAAATTTGACACGTCTGTAGATGGGAAGATCTGTAATAACTTGATAACTCACTTGACTAGAGGGCAGTAGGCTTTTGTAACCTTCTGTAAAATTGTTTACAATTGGAATATGACTCGTAAGCAAGTTTTTTCCTTAAAATAGGTTTATTGCATAGAATCTGTAGTTCTTCTAACCTATATTACTCACTATGGTATTAGTTATTAAGTTAGGTTCAAAAATCTATTTTTGTTTCGGAAATATGAACTGGCATGATCAATATTACTCTTTGGTTTATGCACATCGAGCCTGAGGTTACTTACTGGAGCTTGGTCTTCCATGTGCCTATCCACTGCTGTGCACATTTTCTGAAGTTAATTCTAAGGCTAATGGGAAATTACTAGATTTATTCTTTGCAGAATTTGAAGCAAACATTAGAATTTTTCTTGCACCCTCTAGAGAAGCTGTAAATTTCACCCTCAAAGTGCCAGGCTTTATATATTTTTCTTAACCTATTGAAGATATGTGTAAGCATTTGCCATTTTGTCATATGTACTTTTAGTGAGGCATTACAAATTGGGGTGTCCATTATATTGGGGCTTGAGCTCCTCTTGGTGGCTTCCTATGGAACTTCAATTAATAGCGTGTTTCAAAACAAAATGCAGAACTCCTTCTGCTCCAGAATTTGAATTCTTGAAATGTGTGGCCTAGGACACAGACCATATTAGGGAAAAAAGAGGATGTCATGCATACATTTTATGTAAATAATTTTAATATTCTAAAGTCACAGATGTTGCTCATATCACCTCTCATCTGTGGAAGAAATCTGATCAATACAAGTGGGTTTTATCCCTGGCTAACTAACAAGAAAGTGTTGTTAGTTATTAACACAAATTTCTCTTGTCTTGGAAGTGATTCAACTAGTTTGGGGCTAAGACCAGTATTATCCATGTCAAGTTTATGCTCTCTTGAGTAAGAAACCCCTCTTCCCTTCTTCACCTTTGAAGAGAAAATATTGCTGCTGCTAGCCACACCCTCAACTCTGTGACCCTCCTGCTTCCATACTAGGGCACTACCTCTCTAAGAAAGGCTCTGTGGCTTGTTTCTACCGTACCCGGGCCCTTGGCCAACGATTAAACTCCTGCTTCTCACCTTGGCCCTGCTGACTTGATGCTCCGAGGGGCCACCTGGAGGTAGATCCACTCAGCGGTGTGAGAGCACTCCTCTAAGGAATCCCATCACCTTTCATTTGAACAAATTGCAGACAGTCTCTTTAAATCTGGCAAACATGTACATTGCAAGGGCTTAAAAGAACCCTACCAAACCAGAAATGAAAATGTACTGCACAAATTTTCTTCTCCTTAAGGTGATTTAGACACTATGAGAATGAAGCCAGGAAAGGATTCTGGAGTGTCTTGAATAGAGGGAGCACGGCCTAGGAGCATGGATGTAGGGAGAGAGGCTGTGGCTTCTCAGATCTTTACTAGCAGTGTAAAATTGTTTAAGGCTCAAGATGATTATTTTAATCAGTTTGTGAAGATGAGCTAAAACAAAACAAGAGCTGTTCTCTGGTGTGAATCTATCTTTCACCCTTTACCAGTATTACCTGTTCTAGAGTCTAAGATGATTACAACGTGGAGAAGTCTTTCTTTTAGGTTTGTTTCTCTTCATTTTGAGCCTTTTGTTAATTACTGCCACCAAAGTATCTAAAAATTGCCAAAAAAAAAGTTCCAAATCTAATCTTTACTAACAATTAAGCAGTTGGCACTTCAGCACAATAGGGCTTTAATATCAAGTCACTCTTTTGGGTCTCATTAAAAGAAAGCAGAGGCCATGTAATACAGCAGACAGGAAACAAATGATAACTGAATGACATATTCATGGCTTAAAATATGTGAATCTTCAAAATGCAAAATTTTTTTCTTTACTTCAGTGAAATCATGCAAGTAAGTCAGTGTGACACCTTTACAGCTCAAACCTCAAAGGAAATGGTTGTCAGACTGATTGTAACTGTTGATGTAAATTTCTGTTTCTGTGCCGGTGTTCTATGTTAATGAACCTTGTGTCTTATTTCAGAGAGATTCCCCCTCCACTTCCAGACAGTCCCCAGCTAATGGTCATAGCAGCACTAACAATTCTGTTTCGGTAAGAACTCTAGCTCCCACACAGCCAAGTGTGACAATTTTGTTGGTGCTCACCTGCCATAAGTGTTCTAGTTACATGTGTTCAGTGGAAAGATTGTCTTCTGCAGATCCACAAGGCTACTACAGCGACAGTGCAGTTCACTCCTGGAAAATCTGCAACATTTTCTTCTCACTTACAAAAAAAAAAAACTTCTAGTAGTTAAATCTGAAGAAACATACTTGAAGACCACTCTGGTCACTCCCAAAGTATTTCTGTGCCATCCTAATATAATGTAAGACTTTTCTCAAAGCTATGCAAAGGAAACAAATGGAAATTTTTTTAAATTGCAGAACATATCTGTTTTCCTATGGGAAAGACAAAGGAATGTGAGGGTTTTGCAGAGTAGATGTCTGGGTATTCTCGGGCTTTATGATTTTCTATTCGAAGTGATATCAGCAACGTGTTTTAGTTTCCGCTATCTAAGTGTACGAATTGGTGTGCCCTCTGTTATTGTGGTACGTGCACATATTTTTGTGAATTATAAGCCTTGCCTGGATATGAAAAGCAAAAGGAACTGGCTTCACACTGCACTTAAGCCACGCTGTTATCACATCTTTAACACAAAGTACTTTATGTTGAACTTGAACATGGAATGTAACATTTTTCAGAACTATCTATTTTGCAATAGAGAAGGAGTTGTCTTTAATTATTTTAAACAAATGGAAGCACTTGTAGGTTTGCAATATTTGGGGGTAAGCAAATCTCTAAATTGCTGCTACTGCTGTTTATGACCCAGCTGAAATTATTAGGGTTCCAATGATGCAGCAGTATTGCCATTTTTCTGACTTTTCATTTGCCCTTTAAATATATATGCCAAGATTTATATCAGGTAAAATTATAAATAGAGATCATCTCAAATGGAATAGTATTGATTCTGTCAGTAAAAGAAATGATGGAATAAATTTGTTTATAGCATCATTTTTACCTTTAAAATAGGCTACCAAAGGAATTCATTGATAAGTTAATATTTCATACTTTTGAGATGGTGAGAATCCATACAGCAATGGAATTTTTGAAAATCTAAGTGGTTGCAGTGACAGAGTTGAAAAGGGCAATAGCTCCTTTTAGTTGGGAACTTTTTTTTAATAGGCTGTTTAACTTGCAGTGGCTTTTGTGTTGAAGATGCTGAATTATTTCTTAAGAACACATTTTCTCTCTGCTTAAACTTACCTGCTTTCTTCAGCTTGCTGCTCAATGGCCTGGGGTTTGACTTTTTGATAACTCAACATTTCTGAGAAATGGAATAATGTATATTATCTCTCTACAACTTAAATCTAGCTCATTTTTTAACCATATTGTAACAGAACACACAAATTACTTTGTGCTCTTGACAAGTAAATGAAAATTTTTCTCCTGGGTTGGCTTTATTCTGCAGGACTTGCCATCAACTACCCAACCAAAAGGACGACAGGTGAATAGATATCCTCTCTAGAAACTTCTCTAAACTGAGCTGCTAATAGCCAATCCCTTATTAACCCTTTCCATCCCATAATGTCTGCATTTTGGACCATAACATTTGAGCATTGAAAGCTTGTACCATTTCATTTTAACACATTACACATGACTAATTCTCTATACAGATTTTTTTTCCCTCACATCTTTGTAGCTGTGGTGGTTATTGTAATTTCAACCTGATAATTTTGTGTTGATCATTGAGAATTCAGTCATTGGAGGTCTTATAGGCCTGCCTCTGGGCATGGAAGAGTTTTGAAGATTGCAAAATTCTCAGAATTTTAAAAGTAGCTAAAACAAAGTACATGCTGGGAAGCTTTTCTAAGCATTACTTCCCTGAAGTTGAAAACTTTGTCATCAATTTGTATGTGCATTTGTGTAAGAACCACTTACAATGAAAAATAAGAAGGACATAAATCCCTTGGCCTTACAACGTGATATGCCTGTTAGTTGAAACAAGAAGTTAAGTGCTTCCTAATAATAGCCAGTAACTTCCAAATTGCTTGCACTTTTAAAGTATGGATTTCATGTGCAAATGGAGAGCTTTGTTCATTTTATAGGGTGGATTTTGTTTTTGCAGAAAATAAAAAGAAAAATCACACAACACTTCCAAAACCTTCAGGTTGGTTTTACAGTGACTTAAAACATAAATATTTAAATTTAATTCAAAATATTAGGTTTTTGTGCAAGTTTTTCTTGAAATGTGGCATTAAAAAATAATCAGATTTGAAGTTAACTTACATAAATTAGCACCTCATAGAAATCACTCACTTTAGTGTTAAGACCAACATTGGATATGTAATGCCTTATTTTAAAGCTTTTAGAAATCCAGTAATTCACGAAACACTACCATATGCTAACTCCTTATATGCTAATCTGTTTGTAAGTAAATTTATGTGACATAAAACTCAGAGTTTGAGCTATATATGTTTTGGAGCTCTGTGATTTCACTTTTCCAATTGGTAAAGTAGAGATTTAAATTCATTTTTATTGTCTCTGAAGAGTAAAATACAAACATAAGCTCTAATTCATCTTTTAAAAATAAATCATTTTTAAAATTTTTAAAGAATCATGAATTACACTTAAGTTTATCTGCAGTGTTTAGACACACTTCGAATTGTCATGTAGGCATTTTGTAAGGTGCTTCCAGAATTCTTGCTAGTTTTTTATCCTGTGCTATTTTAGAGCCAAAGCTTACTGTGATTGCTGGTATATTTAGCTTAAAGCTGCCACATGTGTGTGGTCATTACAGCTTAGCATCCAAAGAACCTAGACAGGTTTAAAAACGGTAATCATTTATAGGCCTATTCCATTGTAGTATAACTAAAAATTAAGTCACTGTTTCTACTAAACAAGTATTTTAAGTGTCCCCTCCAAATCAAAATAGCAAAGTTTTGAAACTGCACACATCTAAAGGTATTACATTGTTTCTGGTAGTAGATGTGGTGTTTTTTTTTTTTCCATTGTATTTCCATGCATCATTTTTGTTTTTACCATCTGAGGTCCTGTTTGTATTGTAAATGGTGACATGTGGTTATTAGGTGAGAGCTAACTGTTTTGTTTCACAGCACCATGGCATCCTTTCTTACAAACTCCTGTTTTATAGATCTATGTAAGAGCACAATTTGAATATGATCCAGCCAAGGATGACCTCATCCCCTGCAAAGAAGCTGGCATTCGATTCAGAGTTGGTGACATCATCCAGATTATTAGTAAGGATGATCACAATTGGTGGCAGGGTAAACTGGAAAACTCCAAAAATGGAACTGCAGGTCTCATTCCTTCCCCTGAACTCCAGGAATGGTATGTTTTATTGTTGTTGTTGTTCTGTTTGTTTTATAATAGAAATGAAACTTCGCTTTGTGGTGTGAAACAGCATTTGAGCTATTCCTTGCTTTGCTAGGCCATCAAACTTGTAATCATTCCAAGAGTTCTAAGTCCGCAGCGTCCCGTGAGAAACCAGGCGTAGAATCAGGTCTTGGTTTTACACATAAAGGAAGAAGGTCTGGAGAGAGTCAAGTGACTTAGCCTTGGACCACAGCAGTCTTACCACACAGCCACTCCTGTGTACTGCTGCAGTTCCTTCTAGACTGGTGTTTTTACTTAAATGTACCTTCTCTTTGCCTCTCTGCCGACTTTCGTGCTGTGATTCTATGTCACTCAGGTTGGGTTTTTGTTTTTGTTTTTTAATCTTATTTGGAAGGCAGAAAAACAAAGAGAGATCCTCTGTCCCCCAGTATACTGCCCAAATGGCTGCAAGAGCTTAGGCTAAGCCCGGTCAAATCCAGACTGCCAGAATTCAATCCAGGTCTCCAGACAGGTGTCACAAATACAAATACTCGAGCTATCACCTGCTGCCTCCTAGGGTTCACATCAGGCAGCTGGATCAAAAGCAGACTATCCAGGATTCAACGTCAGCATCCCAAGAGGTCAGTAAAGCCAGTGCACCTGATGCCCGCTCCTTAGGCAGTATTTGAAAGAAAAATATATTTCATCATTAGGAGAAAAGAGAAGTCAAAAGCTGCTTTGTTTGCTTTGCCAATTCTCTTTCAAAAATGGCTTTAAACTCTGAAAGCAAGCTGACATTACACAGGGATTTTAAACCCTACTTTTTTTTTTTAAGTAAAGGAAAAGTGACAAATGGGGGCAGGGTAAGGCAGGGGCAGAGATCTTCTATCTGCTGGTTTACTCTCCAAATACCCACAACACCACCAGGAGCCCAGCTCTAAGCCAGATCCCAGGAACTCTGTGTCTTCTCTGTGGGTGGCAGGATCCCAAGTGCTTGCTCTCTGCCACCTCCCAGGTGCATTAACAGGAAGCTGGATCAGAAAGGAAATAAGGCACTCTGATATGAGATGTGGGCCTCCCAGGCTGTGGTTTATCCCACTACAGCACAGTACCCTCCCCTGAACCCTATTTTCAGCTAAGAGGAGTCACAAATCACTAAATGTGGTGACTCCAGAAAGTTCACAGAAAAAAAAATGGAGTTAAAGGATAAATTTGCTTCGGTTTTAAAAAAAATGAAATCTGTGTATAAATTTTTTCATAATACACATCTCTCATGTTTTGAAGACCCCTCACATGCATGGGCTTGAAAGTGTTTTGTACCAAAGCAAACTCACCTTTTAATTCCATTTTTCCACAAACTTTTTGAAATACCTTCCTGTATTTTAGTAAAATATATTTGTACTGTTGTTACAGTTTGCTTAGTTAAGCTGTTACTTGAAAAATGCTGGTGACCTGACCTTTCTTGGTCCTTGGACAATATATCAAAGATCATTAATGTTTAAGTTTTGTTTCATGTAACCCAAAATATCCAGGAGTTCAGTATGCTGCCAGTTCCTACTCCCTGTTGAATACTCGAACCTAGCTAAAGGAGACCAAAGGCATTGAATCCACAAGCATTTCTAATTGCTTTGTCCCACTAACAAAGAGATGTTTTTCCATTAACCTCATATTTGATCGCCTCTTTCAGCTATCCTGTGTTCCCCAAATATATTCTTACATATAGAGCTCTGGAATTTTAGACTTTCTTCTTACACTTAAGAAATGTGGATCCAAATATCGAGGCAGCATCCTCCCATCTGGCATTGTCTTTCACACTGTTGTTTCAGAAACAAATTTAAGGTGCAGTAGCAGGGAAGTGATATCTGGGTTTTGATAAGGATGCCATTATGCTCTTGCTGATGTTTACATTTCATAAATGTCTTCTTGAATATTGCCATACATCGTGGGCATTCATTTTAAATATGAGGCTTTTAGACCTCTTTTCCCAAGTCGGATCTTCTATGTAAGTCATATTTCTCTCATAACTTATAACTGAAGAGCAGTGGGGAAAGTGGATTTACTTCCTGTTCCCACATATGGTGGACTAGGTTATTTGGATCAGTCCTTCTGCCATAACAAAGGGGGAAGTACCGCAGGAAATATGGTTTTCTAATGACCTTGAAAGCATTGAATAGCTAGAAAGGTACTAGGGGAACTCGGACCAGTTTTTAGATGAAAGCCTTTCATCAGAATGATTTTTTTAAATGCCCATTTTGTCAAGAGAACATTTGCTGTTACTGAATATTTCTGTGCAAGAGAACCAAGTTTATGACCCAAGGCCTGTGGTGGGTGGTTGGGTAGGTGTTATGGTAATTAAAACACGTCTTGGGATACCTGTGTCCCATGTTGGAGTGCCTGGCTTTGAGTCCCAGCTCTGCTTCTTACCCCGCTTCCTGTTAATGCACACCATGGGAGGCAGAAAGCCCAAAGACTTGGGACCCTGCCACCGACATGGGCAACCCAAATGGAGCTCTTGACTTCTGCCTTAAGCCTGGCCCAGCATTTGTGGAGTGGAAAGTATCTATCTCCCTCCTTCCTTCTCTCCCTCTGTTTCAAGTAATATGAAAATAGGTAAGATTTTTAATGTCAACTTTTATTTTACAAACAAAAGCACCTAGTTCCTATACTAGCTGGGAAATCTACTAATATACCCACATATTACTACGACTTCAAAAAGATGATACTCCCAAATTAGAAGCAAACACTAAGCATGTCCTTCCTCCCCTTCAACACCAGGGGAACCATAAAGAAGCGTGTACCAAGCAAAGCAGAGCATGACAGCAAAAAGGGAACATACTTCCCCTAAAAAAATACTATGGCCACTGGTATGCCTTCAATGGATTTGCGCCCAGATACACATAGTCAAGAGCAACCAGGGAAACTCAAGCCATGCATTTGATTTGGAATTTTCCCTTTGTGTACTACAAATTCAAATAGATGGTATAAACAAGGAGAAAATTGCTCCCTAACCTCATCCTCACCCTCCACATAGTCTTTTCTTCTTCTTCTTCTTTTAATTGTTCTTTTATTTATCTATTTTTGTGGTTTTATGGCACCGTTTAACAGGCATTAGAGTCTCTTCCCCTCCCCACGTTTCCTCCCCTCCCTGTTCTCCCCTCCAGTCTTACAATGGGCGTCTTTTGTAAATTTTCACAAGTCCATTGTGCTGCCACTGAGGTGTCTCCCAGCAATGTAGGAGATGATTAGCCGTATCACTGTGAGTCCATCCTTTTACTGCATGCGTGAAGACACATTTCTCTCTGTTTCCACCTATGAACATATTAACTACCGATACACTTCCATTATGCATCCCCTTAGGTACAGTCCACCGCAGGGAGGGAAAAAAATAGTGAACCCTCATCCACATAAGGTTGACTAACATAGAACAAAGGTATCAGTGTAACACTAGGGTGGTGAAAAAGAGTGTCCAGCATCTTCACATAGGAATCAATGCCAGTTTGTGTCCCATGTGGCACTGATGAGAGTACAATAAGGACTAGAACATCGTTACTTATGGGCAGCAGCAATAACTGTGATAAAAGGGACATTGACAATATCGGGTGATTACAAGCACTCAGTCTCCTCCACATAGACTTCCTTTGCAGTGGCCAGCCAGAATCACCAGCATGAAAGGAGAAAGTAGGACGTGACAGAAGTGACAAACCTACCTCACCTACAGGAATTAGGAGCTAGGAAAGATTTCTCAACTAGGCTCATTAGATTTTAAAATCAACAAAAACTTGAAAAAATAGCCTTAGGAAACAGGAGAAAAAATGCTAAATGTCATAACAAAATTGAAAAGAATCAAAGGAACTTCCAGGGGTAAAAAAATAATATGAAAATCTCGGCAGGCACACTCATTAGTTTCAACAGTGGGTAAGTGAATAAATAAATCATGTTATATGCACCCAATGGAATGCCACCTATCGTTTTTTAAAAAAAGGAAAAAAACTATGAATATGTTCAACAATACAGGTAAAACTCAGAAATTACTACTCTGCGAAAAAAGACAGGCAAAGCAGAAGACATACTGTGTGACTCCATTTATATATTCTTCTGGACAATGCAAATTAGTGCATAGTGACAGTGGCTGCCTGGGGACAAGGTAGAGCAAGAGAGGTTCTACAGAGGGGCATAAGGAAATCCAAAAGATAATGAAAAGACTTGCTTTGGTCCTAATCATGGCTTCATGAGCTGTACATGCGTGTCAAAATGGATGAAATCATTCATTTTAATCATGTTCCGTTTTGTCACACACACACACAAAAAAAAATGTTGAACCCAGTAAAGTTGCAGGAAGCAGAATGAGATGCAAGGTGAGAGGAAGAGGCCCACTGAGCAGGACTTTGAAAGTGCAGGAAGACATTCCAGGCGAAAGAGGAAAAGTATTTTGCTTTGTTGGCAAACTGCATTGGTCACTAGGTTGTTAGCAAACATGTGATGCTACGTAGAAAGATTGGAAACCATACTGTCCGCTAAGCCTGTGAGTTTTTCTCAAATTTATTGCTACCCAGCTCATATTTTTACATCCCCTAAATGAGAAATCAGTTTTATTTGGACCCATCTTCCTTACTCTAAGCACAGCAGTCTAGTTTATTTATATATATTTTTATACATATATATATATATATGTTGAATCCCTGGATCTGTCATCCCTTTCCTTGCCTATAAGATCTTCATCCAAGTCATCAATAAAATGGTAAATATGTGTTCAGGTTTTCTCTCCAGTTTAACCTTAACCTTACCATGGTTTCTGTTTGCTAAGCTGTAAGAATTAATATGTACTTCCTGAATGACGGACAAAATAATAATAATTAAGTTCTGTTCCTCTGGTATGCCACATGGGCCACACCACAAATTTTTACTGGAAACTTTTTGTTATTAAATTTTCAACTGAAAAACACCGAGTTTTTGACGTGTGTTATAATATAGCCTCGCAAGGTAAGGTCAGGAGTTTGTCTTTTTAACCTGGCTAAAAATTCCTCAGTTCTGTGTGTTTTTCCAAAGATTGTATGCCTCAGAGAAGCTATAGTTCTGACTGACAGCACATATTGGCTTGTACCAGAAGAATCCTCAAAGCAAAGCCTGCATCAACCTCTTCTGTATTCTATGTTGGTAATATATGGAGATTGACTTCATTGCTGCCACTGACCGTTCATGTTATTGTTTGGCATATGTCTTTTCCTGCAACCAAAAATGATAAATATATTGATGAACAAGAAAGAGTAAGAGACATGGAGGATAATTCCTTTAAGAAAAGAAAAAAGAACACTTCTCAACTTAGGTTATGGTGCCATTGTTACCCTGATACCAAAATTGAAGTCAACTCAAGAATAGAAAAGTACATACGGTCATTATCACATATGCAAAAATCCTCAGCATATGAACAAATTAAATCCAGCAATAAATGAAAAGGGTAGTATAGCAGGACCCCGTAGAGTTTCTATTGATAATGCATGGCTGGTTCAGCATTTGAAAACCAGTCAAATTAATCTGCTGTTTTAACACTAAATTCACATGGTAATATCAGTGGATATAGAAAGGGAATTTGATAAAATTTGATATCCAAGAAGAAAAGGAAATAGAGAAAGTTAAGACAACAGATGCCGGAATACAGATAACTAGGAGGAATTAGTGCTAGAGTTGTATGACACACAAGGGTTACTGGGAGAATTGATTATACATTTCAGAGTAACTGATGGAGTCTGAAGGTTCCCAGCACATAGAAGGAATGCATGTATGATTACCCTGATTTTGTCATTACTCACTTTGTGCCTGTATCAGGTTATAATACTGTGCCCATAGATTGGTATAAGTATTATGTCAGTTTTTAAAGTCTTCCCCACCCCCCGACCCAGTTATGATTACAGCTTTTGCGAAGTATGAATTGAAGGGAACTTCGTTAATAGAACATCTGAAGTAAACATTACCATTAATTAATTGTTAAAGGAAATGTTACAGATAAAATCATTTGGTGTAGAAATTCAAAGAAGTCTGCAGATACATAGAATTACTGTGATAGCTTAGCAAAATGTCAATACAAAATAAATATCCAAAATCCCTACTTCTGTTTGCTAGCCACAACCAAAGTAAAATTTTCAAAAGACACCATATATATCCTGCCCATATCTTAAGCAATACAACAGTACTACAAAGTATCCTTGCATAATGAAACTGGATCAAATTAGCCCTCTAGATTAATTACCTGTTTGCATGAAATGCAAAGAACAGAAGGACATACTAAAAATATCTCAAGGATATCCAGGCTCTACCAAAACTACAGGAAAATTTCTACAACGACTAAATTGCAAGGAAACAAAGAGAGGGGAACTATGAATTCAGAAGGGACTTAAGACTAAGGAGGAAATGAAGCACTTGGATTTATTCCAAAATAATTACAATAGAATACAAATAAAACCAAATAAGCCGTGTTTTTAAGTAACAACCTAGGAGTAGATCTAATAGATTTTAAAACATTTGCAGAATAAATTATAAAATGTATTGAGATTAAATAAGATATAAATAAATACACCATGTTTATGAGCTGGAAGGTGCTATATTTTAAATATGTCTGTTCCTCCCAAATTGGCTTCATAAATTCAGTGCAATTCAAACTGTTTTGAAATTGACAAGCTAATTTTAAAACTTACATAAGAAAATAAGGTATAAGTTTAGAGATGTTCAATTAGACTAACTAAATAGAACAGAAAACCCAAAACACTACTGTAAAAGTAAGTGGACACTTGGGATAGAACAAAAATAGCCCTACAACCAGTGAGAAAGGGGTAGACTTTGCAATAAATGATGTTATGACAATTAGGTATCCTTTAGTGGGAAGAAAAGGAAATTAGTCTCCTTCACATAAAAAGCAAAAATGAGTTCTGGTACATTAAAAACTAAAATCCTAAAATCCAAACTGTAAAATGGCAAGCCACACAATGGAAGAAGATATTTGGAACAGAAAGAACTAACAAAGGCAAGATATCTAGGCCATATGAAGAGTTTCTCTAGATCATTGAGAAGAAGACAACTGAATAGAATGAGCATAAGATTTGAACAGAACTACAAAAAAAGAAAATCCAATGGCCATTGAATATATGAAAAGACATTCAATCTCATTAGTAATCAATGCAATGTTAACTAAAAATTACAGCAGTGTTTCATTATTTACCCGCCTTGATTCCTAAAATTGAAAATGGATGAATAAAGTATTGGCAAAAAGTGAAACAATAGGAACTCTTATATGGTGCTGGCAGGGGATATATATCAATAAAGCCTCACTGGAAGATAACTTGACTTTTATAACAGGACTATGTGGTAATTTGATAGTGATTTTGGACCCTTAAATGTGCATGACTTCTGGGCTCCTGGATGGCTCACTAGTAAAACCATTATGACAGCAAGCATTTGCTTAACGTAACCCAAAGAGAGCAACTTTTTTAACAGTAACTCTGCTTATGTTACCAATAATGGATGTTATACTCAAGTAGAGCAAAATACAGTAGTGCCATTTATTATGTGCCCCCTCTATACCTAGCACTGTACTAGGAACATTGTTTAATTTACGTTTTTTTCTTGTTCTAATCCTGTACAACAGACCCTGAGAGGCTCTAGACCTTACCAATGGAATGTTCTGGATAAAATGACAGGCCCTGGGACCAGACGTTCCCCACTCTCAGCATTACCTACGTGATTTGGACCTCACTGTTCCTTCATTCCGTTCATCTATAAAATGATCATGTAATTCTGTGTATCAGTAGGAAAATTTACTTAATCCACATCAGCTTCTTAGAAAAATGGCTGACAATACCGGCTAGTGAGTGACAAAGCTTGGGTTCAGACCATAATCTAGCTTTACTCAAAATCCCTTAATCATTCCACTGTACATTATAGGCTTCTCTAATCCATGTTATCAGTTAGTATACACTTGAGGAATACAATGTCATATTTTTCAAGCATTTCTAGGAAATTATCATATAAAGCAAAGAGCAGCCTTCATGTGAGTGATTCAAAAGGTTCCAATGCTATTTTATATAAACTCTTCAAAGCAGTGGTTGTTTTCACTTTCATCTGTAAAAGCTATTAATTTTGCTGTTTCTTTTTTTGTGTACTAGGCGAGTAGCTTGCATTGCCATGGAGAAGACCAAACAGGAACAGCAGGCCAGCTGTACTTGGTTTGGAAAGAAAAAGAAGCAGTACAAGGATAAATATTTGGCAAAGCACAATGCAGGTAGGGGAAAGCACAGCTGCTACTCAAGGTTTGGTTAACCGTCTCCAAAGCACACATTTATGCAACATTTCAGTTCAGTCTTCAGAGTTTTCAGTCCAAAAGATTCCAGCTTGTGAGACCTGCAAAAGCCTTTAACACCCCTCTACCTCCAATTAAAGTTTTAGCTGTTTGCCAGATTTTTTTTTTTTGCAAAGCTATACTTTCCAAGGACAAAAATACTATTTTGAAATAGTGCCCTCTGGAACTAAATGAACCCACCACATGCAATCTTCCTCCCAAGAAATGTACTCTTACAAGGCCACTGAGTCACTAGAGCTCTCACCTCCTGGGCTGGCATCTGCCTTGATCAAATACCTCCCTCTGGGTCTTTGGCCGTTGGATGTGGCCCCATGACAGCTAGTTGAGGGTAAAAATACACTCTTACAGAAAGCTATACTAAAAATGCTTCAGTGGTTGATGTGAAAGAGCATAAATGACATGGCTACTAACTAAGTTGAATCAGTTTCTCTAATTAGTGTTTTTCTCATGGTATTTCCAAGCTCCTGAAAGACCAAGGACATTGTCTTGGCCTTCCCTTCATGCTATGTTTGTCAATGTGGAAGCTTGCATTCAACTTGTCAAGATGTTTATTTGTTTTGTTAAGAACTGAAGTAAATAACAAAGAAAGAAAACTATGGTTTGTCTCAGAAGACTCATAGGCTCTAACTTAACAAAAATACATGGTGATATACTTATTTTCTGTAACTCCTTAATATGCCTCCTTCTGTAAGGAACTTTTTCTGAGGAATTGAAAGCCCTGACATTGGCATTGGAGTAGTTCCCAAGGTTTCAGAAATAACTCCAAAAATAAAACATGCAGCCAAAAAAAGCAAGTGAATCCAATCATGCCTTCCCAGTTCAACCCTGTAATTTTTCTGACAAATTGGAAATGCATTTTTCTTTGTATCATAACATGCAGTAGCATTCACTAGGAAAAAAACTGGAAACTCTAAACTGTTCATTTCTCAGAGATAAAAAGCAAACATTTTGAAATGTGGAATGAATGTGAGTGGCCATATGGGTTAAAGTGAAATGATTCTTTTAAATGAGTCTTTACGTTACTTATACCGCACTAGGTTCTCATTTCCAGTATAGTGTATCATTTCTAATTTTGTACTGTTAGAGCGATAGTGTCTCGTAATGGCTTGGTTTGCTGTTTTACGAAGGATAGAAGTATTTAAAGTGAACTAATTCAAGATAATGTAACACTTTTTAAAGTACAAATGCTCAAGTATTAGTATTGAAAGAAATGCCCTAACAGTATCAGAAGAATGTTGCTGTCAGCTTCTCAGTCTAACAGGCTCACACGGAGATATGTTGGTATTATGTATAACATAATGTGGTATTATGTATATATACACATCATACACTTGTTACAAATTATTTCACTTTATAACGTTAAATGATACATAGATATACACATGGCACTGGAATTTATTTAGACTTAGACAAGTGAAGAAATGACCGGTTAAGGCTGTCAATTCATCATTACTTTTATACTCTATTAATGAAGGACATGTAAACCTGAGTATTCAATTTTGCAATATTCTTTAAATCAGATATGAAGAAAAATAAAAAGCAGATGAATGGAGAAGACTGGACCTATGCAAATGCTGTCCAAGAAATCAGTTGACTCAATCCTTTAAAAATTCTTCCAGGGCAGAAACATTTACCCTAATGCTTGAGACACCTGCATCCGAGTGCCTAGGTTCGGTTCCTGGCTCCAGCTCCTGACTCCAACTTCCAGCTAGTGCAGCAGGAAGGCAGCAGTGATGGCTCAAATAATTGAGTTCCTGCCACCCATGTGGATGAACTACATTTCATGCCTGCTGCTGTCCCTAGCCCCAGCCCAGCCATGGTCATTGCAGGCATTTGGCAAGTGAACCAGCACAGAAGAGCTCTTGCTCACTCTCTCTTCCTCTTTTCTCTCTGTTTCTTCCTCTCTTTTGCTTCCTTTTTTCTTTCTCTTGCAGATAATTTTTTTATAAAAAGAACCTTGCCAGAGACTCACTAACCAATCTGGTAGCCAATGGCTTTTCACGGTCACTTTTTCCAGTCTTTAATGAGCAGAATCGTCACTGATCGTCTTTCATTATGCCCATTCTCTGATACCTCATGGGTCACACACAATGCACCTGTAAACTTAAGAGGCTAATAGCCTGGGTGGGCGCAGGAGTTAGTGCACCTGAGTAACCATGCAGCTCCCATAACTCACTTACCACCTGTGGTCCTCAGAATGAGGGAGTTAGTTTAGCCAATGAAGTGAATCTTTTCTCTCTAAGGTTCTTTTCTCACTGGGCCTGACCAATGGCTATCATGTAATGAAGCACAGAACCCAGGCACTGGCCCTTATTTCAGACTTTAGCACTCTGGTAGACATTGTCTATCAAGATTAAAAGGGGTGGCCCTTGATATAGAAATGCAACAGAGATAGAACAAAATCACTTTTTTCCCTCTCATTTGCCATTTTACCTCCTATCCAAAACCATTGGCCTGTGCAAGCTCTGGTAACCTTTTAAGACAAAGAAGGGCTACAGAGGGGAGCTACCATCATCACTTTTTTGTCACCTTCTGCATTTTTCTGACCAGTGGTCTTCAGGCCATCAGAGCCTTCCTCATCATGCTTAAGGGGCTGTTCTACATTTCACCATTTGTCACCTCTCCTTAAAAAGTCGTTGCATAGCCACTTTAAGTTTCTTTCTTGAACTTTGTGTTGAGGCTTGTTTGTGATTCTTCAGATGGTATCACTTTGTGAAGGCTCCCACCCTCACAAAATAAGCCCTTGGAGAGCTCTGCTTTTAGTATCTGTGGTCAGAAGCAGATGGCCAGCATTATTCCCCTGGACTGCCTGGAGTAACGTTCCCTGATCAACCCTGGCATGCCTTGCTATCACTGTCTCCTCCTGTTTCTTCATCATCCAACCCTTCCCATGTGCTTGGTTAAGGCTGCCTTTATAACAGATCCGGTTGTTGAGAAGGAAAGGCAGATATTTTATCAGCTCTTCTGCTCTTAGCTGTGATGAAATTTCATCCCAACATGTGGAATTGCCCATATAAAGAAGGTCTCTACTTTTGACCTTTGTTGGTAAGGCAGATGCTAAGACCTCTGGGAATATCATGGTCTTTTGCCTCAAGTACTAACTAGATGAGCATGTATTTCTTAAAGGTTTGCTTGGCTTTTTTAGAAGTTGGTTGTAAAATATGGTTTCTTTCTTATCCCCATTGTAACCAATGAATTAAAGTTCATGTGTTTTTGTTTCCTGCTTACATCTTTGGTAGTGCATCATATTTCTGGCAAGACTCCAATATTATCATCACATTCTAAACTTATTTATGCTTGTGATAAAAAAATGAAGGCTGGAAATTCTCTCGATATCTGCAACAGGAACAGTCATACTAGAATTATTTACATTCCCGTCACCAAAACATTCCACCTGCATAGATAAAGCAGACTTTAGTTTGAGCAGTGTAGCCTGCATGTAACATTATAAAGTTAGCCTGGAAACTGAATTTGACCAATACATAAATTTTGTTATCACATTTGAAAGTCGGGTTATTTAGCACACAACTTTGACTTGGAGGAGCAGGGAATGTGACAATACCACATCCACTTGCTATCTTAGCAACTCTAAGCTGTTTCTGTCCCTCTTGGGGTGGATGATAATCCTTCATCATCCACCATCCCCACCACTCTGTTTTTGTTCCTGACCCATTCCTTTCAACCCTGGGTGGCTGCTTTGACCACTGCAGGGATTCTGGTGCACTAGTGGGCTCAACGCTGCCAGTATACTGTGCCCTTTGCAATTGGAAGTTTTTACATTATTTGAAGATATTGGTAGTTTTCTAAACTGAAACAAGATTCAGTGGTTTTATGAAAAAGATTCAACTAGAATAGTAGTTACCTGAATCTTTAAAAGCAATATCTGAAATACTGAGTAGCTTACCAGGAAATCAGGGTAATATGAATGAACATTTTGAGGTAGTGTTTTTGAATCCTTGGGAAATCAATATGATTATGGGCCATAGTGCATTTAGGTTACATAATGTTTTATGCAATGCATGAAAGACTTTTAGCCACATACATTTAGTGTGAAAGGCCTTGACGTGCTGCTAGGAGAAAATGTCCTCTTGACAGGTTAACATTGCTTGGCACCAAGATTTCCAAGAGTCAGTTTTAAACTAATCAATTTAACCTATGCTAAGTTTTGTTACCTTGTCTGTTTGTTTTTTTTTAAAGGAGCAGTGGGACCTTCATTCAAGTTTTTTTGTTTTTTGTTTTTTGTTTTTTTTATGTTACCGCCCTGGAATGCACTATTTCTCTGCTCACATAGGTAGATTCATACTATTGATCGTAGTGAGCTGTTCCTTTTTCTTGAATACAACACACTCTTTGGACAACAAAAAATGAACCGTAACTTCCCTACCCTGTTGGCCTTTAAAAATAATGAACAGAAGTCATAGATACACATGATTAGAAATCGCAGGCAGTGCAGGAAGCTACATAGTAAAAACCTGAAGACTTTCTCATCTACACTCTCTGAAGAGAGTTCCTTGTAACTATTCCCAAATAAAATTGTATGCATATGCTACCATATAAATCCCGCTGGCTTTTGTATTAAGGATATTATGGAATTTTTATTAAAGTGAGTTTGTTTCTTAATGTGATTTATTTGCCTTGTGTTTAAAAAATTGCATGATATAGTTTATTTTGTGCATATTATATTTTTATTTTACTAATATATGAAAAACCATATTTCAATGACCCCTGTACATTTTTCATGCTGTCTCACTCCCAATGGCCTCTGTGCATGTAAGTAACCTGTTGAATGACTATGCCTCTGTGTTTTTGACAGTTTTATTTTATTAAATCCTTTTTATTTTATTAGCAAGCAACATAATACCTTTAAAAAGTCCTTAAGTGCTCTAATATTCCTTTTATCTCTTATTTTGAAGTACCCTTTGCATTGCCTCTCATCCCTGTGTCCATGTGAAGGTTTCATTTAGACCAGAGTAACCTCATCGTGGTACTTGTTCATAGTTCAGATGTTGATGTTTAACTTATCTGTTCATTTGTTTGTGGCATTCAGTGTTAATATCTAACTCATTCTTATGTGCTTTAAAAAAATGACAGGTCTTAACTCATTAGGATTAGTTAAGGGTCTGTAGAGGGAGAACGATGTATATGCCACTCAGAGAGCTTGTGTCACCGTCATTTTGCTCTTTTGTGAGATGTTTGATTATTTTTATATATTAAGACACATCAGCTTGTTGCTGAACATCAGCTTCTTTGATGACCATACATTTTCTTGAAGGAACTCTCTCTCAGTACAAAAAGCAAATGCCAAAGGCACTCCTGCTTTTGTTTCTACAACTCTCATCCTCCATTACCACTGCAGTACAGTTAGCTAGCTCTACTACAGAGAGCCCATATTCATTTTAATTTCATGAAACTGCCATTCTGAACATAGACAACATTTCTTGGTTTTTAGCTATGCTAGAGAATGTGCCTCAAAGAGTTTCAGTCAACTTTAATGAAATCAGATTATCAAAAGAAAAGCAATGCCCAAATACCCGTTAATATGCACTAACCTTTATTTCAATATATTGTATTTTTTATATGTGTTTTATGATGCTTTTTGTTTGTTTCTGATCTACTCCATTCCAGAGTATCTTACTTTGCATTTTAAGGTTCTTTGCTACTGGGAAGATCACAAATGTTAAGGACTGAGCTAATAGTCACAATCATTTGGCCATAATGTTTCAGGCAGTAGAAGCTTCTCTTAATGATTTCCTGAAGCATCCCAGATTCCTCTATTACACTATGAAATCAATTTCATTGAATTTATTGCAAACCCTCTGAGAGCCAGGGCTTATTCTTTAAAGAAAAAAAAAGAAACTTCAACATGTCCCTGACAACATTTGGGTATGACAATGCACAAAGTATTACAGGAAACATAAATGTATGATGTTAGCCGCCTTGTGAGAATTTTCAAATGTGTGTGAGAATGGAAACATATTGAGTTTCAACAGGAGTGGCCATCCACTCAAGAAAGTTGCAGACATTGCTTGCAATTGTTCTGGTAACAGTGTTAAGAAAGTTGCAAACATTGCTTGCAATTGTTCTGGTAACAGTGTTGTTAAGAGGTAGGCTTCCAAAAACCATTACTGTTATAAAGTACTTTTCTCAGTCTGCAATGATTCGAGAACTCCCATTTTGCAAAGGTCTCCAAGCTCAAACTCCACTTCATGATTCTTTCCATCCTGATTGATCACCATTGTCACAGCAAACGGGGTTCCAGGCCCAAGGAAGCCTGGTACTCATATTCTGCTGCTCATATACCCATGACTTTCCATCCAGTGGATATCTGGATTACAATAAAACTCATGAGAAGCTCATTTAAAAACTCATGAAATCATTACAGAACTTGACTTTGAAAGAATCAAGCATGCCACCTTCATTCAATTCTGTCAAAAGAAAGAATCATGAAGTTAAAGACCAGCTGGCCATGCATTCTTATTCATCTCTAGAAATTACCTAGCTGGCCCCTCTCTTGATTGACTTTACATTCATGCTCTATTCATGTCAGTCACTGTCTCTAGACTTTTTTCTTCTTAGTGTTGCTGATTCCTTAGAATTGTAGAAATATGAACAGCATGTGCTTTTGAGTGAATTCATATGATTTGTTAGATACTGCATGAAAAAACATGCAGTATCTTTTGAAATTGGACTTTTATGCATGTAACGTATCTTTGGATGCACTTGATTCTAAAATGCACTTTCATGGGCTTAAAAATGAAATGTTCTTCTCAAGGCTGTATGACTTAATCACATGGAAGCCTTATATCAGAAGCTGGATTTATATCTTTGAGACATGATTTTACTCTAAATTAATGTTGCCAGTAAAGTTTTAGGTAACATATGGGAAATATTCATTCCATAAATTTACCTGTCTTCTAAATCTTTATATTTTAGTGTTTGATCAATTAGATCTTGTCACATATGAAGAAGTAGTAAAACTGCCAGCATTCAAAAGGAAAACACTTGTCTTACTAGGTAAGCTTGTGTAAGTGGCTTGCTTATTTTCCCCTTCAAATCATTTTGTGAACATTATTAACAGTTGTCAATTTTAACATTCTTTTTAAAAAAAAATGACACAGGTGCACATGGTGTTGGGAGAAGACACATAAAAAACACCCTCATCACGAAGCACCCAGACCGGTTTGCGTACCCTATTCCACGTAAGAAATGTCTCAATCTCTTTATACTCTTCCTGTCATTTTTGTAAAATTGAAATTGTATATTTTTTCTGGTTACTTAGGTAATAGTATTATAGGAAATTTGTAAAACCCACAAAAGAACACCAAAAGAAGTTAGCGAACAATAATCCTAGCCCTTCCCTCCTGATAATAATTGCTTTCTACACAGCTTGCTGTATACCCCTCCAGAATTAATGCAAACATATGTGGTATATATGTGTGCACATGTATTCTGTTTGTATTTCTTTAATGCCATGAGGCTCATTCATTCCGTTTATGACCTAATTTTTCCAACAACATGTCTTAAACATTACTTGCATCAATTATTCTCCAAAAAGTTTTTAACAGTTGTATAGTTCTCTGATATGACAGTCTTTCCCTTAATTCATGTCTAGGCTGCTGAGTTCTTCTAACTTTTAAAACCCAGTTTGCTTTTAGTTGTTTCCTCTGAAGAATCACGAATCTCAAATTGTCCATTCCTCTTATTTTCTATCTCCTCCCCTCTTTCCCTCAACTGTAAAGTGAACTTATCCAGAGATTGCAACGAGGATTTGGGCTCATGATATGAAGCACTTAGCAGATTGTGGATAAGGAGGAGCTGTCTTAGCATTGTCATTATTATCAGCATGATTTTCAAGTCTAACATTTCTATTCCAAAAGTTTTCTAGCAGATGGAGTCGTGTTTAGGGTGGGAAGAGCTAAAGGAAACAATTTTAAAGAGCAGTAGGAGAAAACGTAGATTGACTCCATCCTGTAGGGCTTGCAAATGCTTTCATAAAACCACCCTTATCCCAGAACCCTGTGTGATTTACACAGATGCCTATGACATCATTTCCATTCATGCTATTTGGGATTTTCAAATAAGATGCCTTGAAATGGCCTTTGAAGGTCGCTTATGTCTAGATCATGACTATAGCAAGCATGGCTAATATTCGTCTTATTCTTCTTGATCACAAACAATGACCTTCGCTGTTATTAAGTGGCCAGTTAGCTAGCTTGGTTTGAAATCCTACTTTTGATAATGTTACTCATTTAGTCCCAGATATTTATGTAACACAAATTCATGCGATGATTACAGATTCTGCCATTTCTTGAGCTTTTGACGTGCCCAGAGAAAGGTGGTTCCTCTTTAAAATAGCCACATTTTGATAGCTGTGAGCACATAGGTATTTCTAATGACCTAGTTAGTAGGAAAGGAGAAGTTTCCCACTGGTTTGGGCTCGTGTGCACAACAAGAAGTTACATAAATTTGTCCTTAAAAAAAAAAAAAGAAAGAAGAAAGTGAATAAGAATAGGAGAAGGAATAGGAGAAGGAATTGGGAAGAAAGGAGAAGATTCAAAAAAAAAACAGACAGACATCAAGAAAAATGAGGTGGGGTGGAGCAGAGGAGGGAAGGGAGAGAAAAAAGAAATTAAAACTAATGTTCCTGGTTCATCTGGAAAAACTTTTCCTCAACTAGGTTTCTGGACTATGGTAGTCCTGTTAGTATCCCAGAGTGAGGGCTTATTGGCATGTACTTTAATATACACTTCTGTAAGTCAGAGGTCAGCAACCTTTTTCTAAAAATGACCAGATAGTTAACATTTGAGGCTTTGCAGCTCTGTGACAGGCTTTGAGGCTCTATCCCAACTCCTCAGCTCTGCCCTTGTAGCATGAAGGCAGCCATAGGTGCTATGTAAGCAAATATGTCTGACTGCAGCCCAATAAAACTTTATTACCAGAGTTTGTTAACTTTATTAACAAAGGCAGTTTGCTCCCTCATGGTTTGGGTTTTCCATAATAAATGTGTGACCACATCCAACTAAGGTCCATTGGGTTTTCATTATCATTTGCCTTTTGCTATGTTCTAGCATTTTATTTTTTGCAAGGTACTGGTAAGACCAGCACTGTCCAGTAGAATTTGCAGTGACAGTGACAGCTTTTGGTTTTTGCACTGTCCAGGACAGTAAGCCATTAGCTAGCTGTATGTCATTATTGAACCATTACAATGTGATTAATGAGACTAAAGGCTAAATTTAACTTTATTTAATGACAGCTTATTTAAATTTAAATAGCCACATGTTGTTTTCCCTTTTGTTTTTCAGTCTTGTTTTTGTTGTGCTCAATTACCCTACTGTATTAAGGCAAACGGTGAGTGATGTTGCCATCAGCTCAGCCTTTTAAACCTCTGATGACATGTAACTTTGCAGATACAACCAGACCTCCAAAGAAAGATGAAGAAAATGGAAAGAATTACTACTTTGTGTCCCATGACCAAATGATGCAAGACATCTCTAATAATGAGTACTTGGAGTATGGCAGCCATGAGGATGCAATGTATGGGACAAAACTGGAGACCATCCGAAAAATCCATGAGCAGGGGCTGATTGCAATACTGGATGTGGAGCCTCAGGTAATCCCTTGTCACCCTGATCGCCTGTCGTCCAGTGTGCATGCTGATAAACTCAGATTCTGAGCCCCAAAATGCTATCAGACAGTTATCGGTTGCCTAATGATTTCATAAACAACAGGAAAGCATAAGTAATCAAGGCATTGTGGGTTAGGTCTAGAATGCAGAATATCTAACCATGGACTCAGTACACATACCATCTGTTGAAGAGGCAGAGATCATTCTGTTAGGAAGTTCATTATCCTCAGAAGCTCAGTAACATTCCTGAATGGGTCTGTGCTCAGCAGAAATCGTGCGGTTATCTGATCTCAGGGTGAGATGTGGCCCTTTATTACCCTAATAGCCACCTTTCCTCTCTTGGCAAAGCTCATGCTAGCTCATCCAGAGCCTCTTCCAGCATCTTATGTTAATCAGCAGTAAGAAACTGACCCAAGGGCCAGCACTGGCTTTATGAAGGCAGGCATGAGAGTGAGCTCAGGTGCCACATGGAGCAAGGGTGGAGAGCCGTGGTGGTTCTCAGCCTCTGCTATCTCCTGATCATGAGCTAACACTGGGGGGGGGGGGGGTGGAAGACTTTTGGGAGGGGATGCAAAAAGCAGAGCCAGATGCAGACAAGCAAGAGATTTGTAGATGAGTCTCATGCTAGAAGCAATTGGAATGTATTATACGTAAAAAAGAAAAAGCTTAAGACTTCACATAAAAAATACTGACAGTCAGTCTCTAATTTTTTTTTAATCTCTGAGCATAAACCAAATAAAAGTTGGATTTAAAGCACATTAGGAAGGGTCTGGGAAGGGTAGATGTCAGGAGAAGTTAGAGGAGAGGCTGTGGGTGGCACTAGTGACTGCCAGTCTGCCGTTTCTAAGACTGATCTGTACCAAAAGTCCCTTGTGCTGTAGAGTCCATCCACACTCACTGAGATGGTAGACCTACTCACTTCCAGCAGGCTCCCATTTCATCAGGAGACTTACCTGGCCTGGGCAGTACATATCTTTGTTCAAGGGCCACCGTATGAGGCTTGGGCCCCTCACTCTCCCCACCATGAGGTCAGAACCTGCATGGCCAGAATCTGTGTGACCTAAGATCTGTATGACCTAGAACCTCAGTTGCTGGGCTTCAAGATCCTAGCTCATGGCCAGGTGGGTTAACCTGTTTCCATCTAACAGCATTTGCTGGGCTTCTTGAACTTGGAACTTTGGGGAACTACAAAGATTATGCTGAGGGTCCTAGGGAAGAGAGCAGTATAGGGTGGACATTATAGTCAATGAACATGGACCTATATAGAACTAAATATATGTTGTATAACAGATTGATTTTTGTTTAACTACTAATCCCTCCTTACTAGGGATTGGAAAAATCTTCTGGCCAGGGGTGGCTAGAGGCAAAGTCTCAATCCTGGTCCTGGTCTTCGACATCCTCTCCTTGGGTTCCACACTGGTCTTCACCTGAACGTCGTTTTCTGCTGGTAGTAATGTCTCTAGCAGTATGCTGGCTGCAGGGCTCCTCAGACTCCCTCTGCATTCCCTAAATCCACTTTCGAGGGCTTTCTGCCTTTGCTGCTACTGCTGCTGCTGCTGCCGCCGCCGCCACCACTGCTGCCACCACCACCACCACCACTGCTGCTGCCGCTCTCCTCATGGTGCCCAGCTGCCCCCATCTCCTTGTCCTTGCACAGCCATGCACTGCTCTGCACTGCTGAGCGAGACATCCTTCTCTCGACCTCATCAGGACAGCACAGAAGTGACTTCCCCTTTGCACTTGGGCCCTGAGCACCCCCGTGCCCCGTTGGGCCCACTCTCCCTGCTCCCCCAATTGCTGGATGAGCTCCCCTGCACTTTTCCCTCCTGCTTCTGTGTCTCCCCTACATCTCAGAATAGTGATCTCTCAGGTCCTCCCACACATGGGTGCAGGCCCTAGGCTTCCTAGTCTCTGAGCCTCTTAGGGCCGGCAGGGGGTAGGGCTGGTCAAGGCCTGCTCCTTTTGTCTGGTTGCTCAACCACCCTGATCCCAGGCACCCCCACCCTGCCCAATCTGGCCTAATGTCCTGGCGTGATCTTACACAGCTGCCTGCAGCCAAACCATTGAGCTAGCCTACAGTGTGCACTGACTGGACTTCCACTTGGGTTTCTCTGCCTTCTGCCCATGCTCCCCAGCCAGCCAAGGCCCTTGTCCTGGCGGCAGGATGCCTGTGGCTGGAAACAGGGAATGACTTGCTTTCAAGCAGAGAGCCGCATTGCTACAGGAAGACTTTGTCTTTAAGATCTTTTCCTCCATGCCTTTTCCTGCCCCAGCTTGTTAGACGAACCCCTCTACTGTATCTTACAGACAACTTGATTTGACAGCCTTTTATTAAGCAGTTATTATATGCCCAGCCCTGTGTCAGGAGTTCAGAATACAGTTAAGAAGATGAGCCGGTGAGGACAAAATTCCTGCCTTAACACACATCCAAAGCTGCACGTAACACAATACCTTCTAACTTTTTTTTTTTCTTAAATTCTCTCACTTGTACCTCTGCCAATGCCACTTTCACTGTATGGAACTCATAGAGTCCACCCAGCCCTGTAGGTTAGCTTGCTTAGTGTAGACTTAACACTGTGCCATCTTAAGCTATTGTGGACAGTTAAGATCAAATTGGCCACCTCTAATAATACTATAAACTAAGGTGTTATGGTCCAACTTTAAATGTAGGAAAGCATTGTAAAGACATTAGTTTTAGTAACCTGCTTCACTTGAATCATAGATTATATTCTTATCTTACAGTGCTTTGTATTTTACCAAGCATTACTACCCCTTGCCTGATCTTTCCGACCCTTTAGGAGTAGAGATCATTATATACATTTGTCCAAGAAGAAGTTAAGACTTAATGTAATCGTGGCTTGATCAAGGTTTTATAGCCAACTGCAAGTGAGGTCTGTTTGTGTTGCTTTCTTTATTTTATTATTTTATGATAAACCTCAAGCTCTTTAAGCTGTACCATCCTAGCAGAGGTAACCATTGGGATCATCAAGATGATCTACCTTCTGTGTAGAAGCACAATTTAAATTCTATAACACAGAGAAAAATATAGAAGACACTCAAACTCGAGAAAAATTGCAGAACTTATTTCTCAGTGAGACAGAGCTGTGACTCTCCAATAACTCACGCCCCTAAGCTGAAGCTGTCATAGCTGTAGTGTGTCATCGCAGCTTAATGCAAGCATTTTTGATTGTAAGTTTAGTCTTATTTATCCATTTTCAGCATTTAAAATGACCAGTTGCAGAATATTTGTGGATTCTCTCTTGGCCAGGGTAGGAAAGGTCATCATGCAGAGAGAGCTCCCAGTGTTGCTCAGCATCAGTACGGTCTATACACAAGCCAGGGTCTAAACCAGGCGCAGTTGTGAGAAATAGCTTGAGTGTCTTGAGATCGATTCTGGGATCCCTGAGCTTTTCTCCCTTAAATGCTGAGATCTTTGTACGGAATGTCCCAGATACTTATATTTGTGTTCTCTTTTGGAATTTCCAGACCAAGTTAATGTTGTGGATTTCTGCACCTTAGATCCCTGGTCAAGTAAATTTTTATTCCTGAGATGAATTCTTGACCATGGGTGAGGAGAGCCACAAAATCCTTTTCTCTCCAGAAGAGAAAACTGAAGATTTAGTTTGAGATGTTAAATTAATGTGGCTTTGGCCCTTTGAATCCAGAATGTTTCTCATGATCTTTCTAAACTCTGTGTGTGTGTGAGAGAGAGAGAGAGAGAAAGAGAGAGAGAGAGAGAGAAACTGGGGTTTGAAAATTTTGCCTGTTGATTTAGCAAATTTGTGTCTCACTTGAAGTCAGAGAGGAAGAACATTTAGAGTTCATGTGTAAGTCCCTGAAGGGATAGACAGTTCCATTTCCTGTCCCCCCAAAATGACTGTGAGTCTCAGCCATGCTGAAACTACAGCAAAAGGAAAGATGCCATTTGAAACTCATAAGTAGAGCAAAGTCTGAGACGGTAAGCGAGGAAATGTGTGGTGTGGTGTGGTGTGGTGTGGTGTGGTGACTCTACTGAAGAAATGAAATCTGCTAAAAAAAAAAATCACAGTCAATTTGAAGCACCTTAAAATTTGAGGAAATAAAATCATATAGGCAAGAAATAGAAAAGGTAAAGCCATGAAAAAAAGGTAGAAAGCCAATATGCTCACCATGGGGCTACCAGTGTGACTGTGATAAGCATTCAATTGGGCTCCAAACTTTCAGGCACCCAGAGCAAAGAAGAGGGGCTCGAGTGCTAGAACCCAACTTCTAGACCTAAGAGGCATTTGGCAAAGTGAAGAACATGGCCGTCGTTGATGGGTTTTGGTGGTAAATGCAGAGCGACCCTCATATTTACATATGTAGACTGAGGGCATAAACGCAATTGGAGGTAATATTTAGCAAGGAGTTTGCTCCTCGGTCATCACATAACCGGCTATATCGGAAAGCATTTGAAGGACTGGGTAGCTAGCAGGCTGGGTCACTGAGCAGAGGAAAACACCTGTTATACCTGGGCTGTCATTCTCAACTTCATCCGTGGGTTTTGTTCAGCATGCAGGCTGTGTGAACTTCCATCTTGCACTTGGGTAAAAGCTTAAGGGACAGACGCAAGCAGGATTTTTCTCCCGTCTCAATTTCCCACAGGCTGGCTGTGGGCGGATAGGTATGCATAGCAGGGTGGGGGTGATGAGAAAAACCTTATGTCTTATGCTTCATTCAACTGATTTATGGGCACAGGCAGAAAGGAAAAAAGGCTCAAGATGCTATTGACAAAAAGGACATTTCTTAGTGAAAATCGCTGTTCAGCTCAGTTGAGCTGTACATGGGCTTTGGCATTTTGTCTGTTGCCTACCAAAGTCTTTGATCACAAAAGGATTGGCAGAGAAATTATGGGTTATACCTCTTTCAAACAAGCCTGAAGAGCTTTCTTATAAGGGACTGTGAACCATGTGACTTTAATGACTCCGGAACTTTGATGGATAAAACAGTGTGCCACACAGCAGGTTCCCTTAGCTCACCGGAAGAGAGCCATGTGACTGCAGTTCAGGAATAGAGCCCTAGTGAAGGCGAGCCTTGCACCAGACAAGACAGGCAGAACCTTCAATAGCAAATTTACTTCTTACATGCGTATGTGCCCCCAAGAGGCCACAGGGTTTGTCTCAGCCAAGACAGCAGAGTGCCTTGGTTGGTTGCACCAGCCTCAAAAGGCAGCATCAGCATTGTGCACATGAGATGTACGGTTTTGACTTCGGAAGCTGATCAGGAAGGTAGTGAAGTGCCAAGGGCCATCTCGGCATAAGGGAGACAGCTGAGGGAGACACAGCTGCTTGCCCCTGGGGACTTGTGCTTCCAGGGTGATGGGTGTATTCAATGGCACTCAGGACTGAGCCAAGCCAAAGGGAAAGGGAAGACTACAGGAGGGCCAGACAAGGGGAGCAAGAAAAGCAAAGGTCAGGCGACCCTTTCTGCAGCTGAAAGTGCTTCAGTAAGAGCACCCCCCACCTCGCCACCGCCCCTAGAGAAGGGGCTGGGAGAGGTAGCGAGGTTAAGCCTGGGCCAGCTTGTGAGGAAAGAACATGACTTTCATGCTAAGGAAGTGTATGTTTTATCGCTGGTCTTAGAACCATGCAAGACTTTTCAGCAGGGGATTGATAGCACTGGCATTTCAGAAAAGATCATTCCCGTAGAAGGGGGGAGGTTGGATGGGAAAGCAGCAAAATCCAAGACAAGAAACCTGTGTAATCACTGTTCCCATCAAGCAAGCAGAAGGTGAAGTAACGAGCACAGAGCAAAGCCACATGGAAAGACCCTTCAGGAAACAAACCGAAGGGTAGCAGAATAGACATATGAGATTCTTGTGTGAGGGACAGCCAGAAATGTGCACATACATATCAGTTCCATGGCGATCACTTTGCATTGGGCACCTGTGTGTGCTGAATTTTCTCCCTTGGAGGGGAGTTTGTATCACCATCACCCCACTCCCCTCCACCCCCTGCCCAGAGTGTCATGTCCTGCTGTGGATGCAGCTCAAGCAGGAATCCCTCAGCAAAATAGGCTCCCCAGCTTTCTGGTCATGGTGCTGCAGGGCCTCACTGCATGATGCCTTGGAAGGGGACTGGACAGGACTCCCCAGAGTGCAGTGTTTTCTCGTGGGCCTACACGTGACCCCCAGCACACAGCAGCTATAGTGGCAGGATTAAGACAAAAAGCCCAGGGTTCCAGCTCTCGATGTGAGCAGGGTGCCCTCCCCTGTGAATGCCATAGGGCACCTGTGAAAGGCCTTATCGAATTATGAATGTAGCACACATGGCTACGGTGGCCGCACTTGGTGCTCCTTGGTTAGTGACTTGAAATTTGAAATGTGATGAAATGGACTCCAGATCATTGTGATGCCAATCTGCAGGTCCACATCTCTGCCCAATGCGCTTCAATTCAGGCTCTAAATCATAACTTTGCTTAAATGAACAGTAACCAAAGTAGTGTCGACTTTTACAAAGAAAAAGAAATCCAATTGATTCATGAGAAAAAATGTCCAGTTTGTCATATTTTATTTTCTGATAGCTGTTGTCCATCCTTGGAAAGAAAACAAATAAAAGAAATTTTATATATATATCTATAACTTTATATATATATAAAGTTGGGAAATCTAAGAATACCAAAGTTTTGAATCAAGGGCTTGAAATTGTGTCCATCTTTGGATAGACTTGTATGAAATTTGCATTGGCCATTTCTTCTTTTAAGCCTCAATTGGGGGGTCAACTTTTCTTTCCACACAGGCACTGAAGGTCCTGAGAACCGCGGAATTCGCTCCTTTTGTTGTTTTTATTGCCGCACCTACTATCACTCCAGGTTTAAATGAGGTAAGAATAAACCATGTTGCCCCAAATCCGCATGCCCCTTTGTAAGGATCCCTGTGTGTTTTGTATTCAGAGCCAAAGTTCCCATCTGTAAGACATCTACACAAGGCTGTTTTGTTATTGAGTGCCAGAGCTTAAAGTCCCCCTTCCATTTAAGAATTAGCCAGTGTTAACACTGGAGCTCTTCTGAGATCACAGTCAGCAAATTCCAGTCTTACTAAGATCCCTGCACAGCCTGGAGCATATCCATCTGCATTTGTAGCCAAAGTCTGCTGAGGTCAAAAAGTGTAGCCTGTGACCTTCCCAATAGGGTACACCCTCTCCCACCCCGCAGCGCACGGCTCCTCAGGCATCTCATGCCTTCCCTGGCTGCCAGTCCACACCCTTCCCGGATAGGGCTTGTGCTAAAGCAGCTCTCACAACCAGCTCTAAGTCAAGCAGTGCTTTGCCTGAAGATAGCTATAATGAAGGCCTTGGCTGGTTTACCTGGGTAGCCCCTGGGGAGAAACCCATATAGCGTTTCTACCCAGGCCCCTAGAGATTGCCAAACACAGAAATGAAGTCTCCTATGCAAAGTGCAACTTTTAGAAATCAACAGAGAATTAGTGACCATTCCATGAACACCTGCCAAAACTCCCCCACGCTTATAGTACAGCTAAATGGCGACCTTTTTATTTATGTGCCTTTTAAAAAGATGAAAGATTTACTTTTACCTATGTTACTCGTGTGTCCAGTGATTTTTGTTTCGGTCATTTCATTGGCAAAAGCTAAATTTCTGTGTACCAGTCTCTTTTCCCCTCTTGCTGAATACACAAGCATGTTTGAAACCCAGCTGTGCGGTTAAATTTTATCCTTTTGTTGCCGTATGTTTTTCTTGAATTATCATCTTTGCTTTGTTTTTGTTTTGCCTATTTTCCTGCTCTTTTACTAATTTTCCATAGCTGCCAAAATGGTGCAGAAAATTGCCTGTAAGTACCAGCTAGGAGGTGATGGTGCCTGGTTTCCTTAATAGATTTAGAATGTAGATACTTTGTTCCCCCAAATCCTTGCTTTTGCTGTTCCCACAAAGGCATTTTGCTGTCACTGAGCTAAGCCCTGCTCACATGTGCGTCAAGCATGCAGACAAACTGTTGTCGAGGAAGAAACTGACAAATATAGCTTCATCTTGAAAGATCCTTAAGAGAGAGCTTTAATTTTTTTTTAAGAGAACTACATTAAAATTTTGATGTAGTTTTCAGCCATGCGTTTTTCCTGACTGTTTTCCTCAGTCCAGCGTTTGGAGCAAGTTCTAACCTCTGCCAGTGATATTGGCGGTGCAGGACTGGATATGAGCATAGAATCCCCCAGAGCAGACAGTGACATCGTAGGATCTGCCCCTCCCCTTCCCCCCTTAGTGCTGGCAGGAAACACCGTTCAGGTCTTTGGGTGAATGCACTCCTCCTAGAATGAGGTTTTGCATTGTGTATATTGCAAAGTCAAGGCACAGGGGAAATGCTAGGCATTATGTAAGTGCAAGCAGAACATGTTGTTGATCTGACCTGAGAAGAGGACTGTTAACTGAGGCCTTTAATGCAGCAGTTAATGCTTGGTCCTGCTTGGAATTCCTGCAGAGGACAGTACTATAAGGAGGACATTCGCATTTCAGAGCATCCTCGGCTCTGCTGTGTGCCCATCCCCTAGGCAGCACCGGGGCCAAGCCCTCCCTCTCTCTCTCTGTCTCACTTCTGATCCCCTTCATAGAGAGCTGCACTCATGGCACCCAGCTTCATCAAGAGAAATCTTTTGCAAAGAACAGGGGGACCTCAAAGGAGAGGAGTCTTAAGGAACACTGTGCATACCAGCTTCCGGCGCCCTGCAAGCATGCCTTATATTCTCTGTAGAGTGCAGACTGGGTCACCCTGTGGCTGTACTTCCTGCTACATTTGCTCAATGGCTCAACTAGGGATGTAACACTCACAAAACCCAGTAATGCCCAGTCTCAATCAGCCAAGTGCTCATCCTTTCCATAGCATTTCTTATGCGCTTACTAGGAGCAAAGCAGTACCTGGTGCTGGGGCAAGCAGTTTCAGGGTACACAGACAACCCTAGTTGGGGAGAAAGACAGTAAATCAACAGGTATTGAACTATATCTGCACAGGTGCAAGACTCAGGCCAGTAGTTCACCTACTGGTGACTGGCAGATGAGGGGATGGTAAATTCGACTGACAGAGTTTCCTGGTTTCCAATTTGAGTTCGTCCTTGGGGCAGTCAGCATCACCGACTTGAACTGGGAAGGTCCAAGAAGCAGGTTTCTATCTGGTGGGGTCCTTAAGAGAGCCCTGTCTGGGCAGAGCAGCCCCCTTTGCTGTGAAAGTTCTGGGTCCCTCCCCCAGTCCCACCTGCTGAGAGCTCTCCTGGGAGCTGTAGCCAAGGGAGCATCCTTCATGGTGCTGAGCCTCTCTCTTCCTTTAGCGATTTGTTTGTTTGTTTGTTTGTTTTGGTTTTTGTTTCTGTGCTACAGGTGAGTCCTTGTGAGCAGACTTTGGGTCACTTGCAGTGCAACTTAGTTGAGAGGGGAGGGGGAGGGCAGGTGCCTCTGGCTATGATATTTGGGAAATGGCTTTTTTTTTGCCTCCATTATTGGTGACATCCAAAAAGCTTTTGCCCCAGCCTCCATTCCTGTTGCGTGAAGGCCATTCAGTGTAATGGAATTCCTGGAACATGCTGAATGTCTAAAGAGAAAAGGAAAAAAGAACTCCGTTTGTGGTCAAAAGGCAGGGGTGTGGCAAACACAGCTGGACCCCAGAGTGTGGAGGCTGAAAAACCTCAGGCCTTGTCCCCAGGCAAAGGAGAGGATGATGCCCTGCAAGCCTTCCTTAGCAAAACGAGGCAACAGCTTAGTCGAGGGTAGCTCTTGGTGAGCCGTGCCCCTGTGGGCCTTCATGCAAGTGATTCAGAACAGGCTGCCACGTTTGCAGAAGAGTGTCTAACGCAACTGGTTCTAGTGGTTTATGGCAGACCACCGTGTGGCCCATAGAAGGGTCACAGCTGCCCACAGGAACTCTGTCACCCTGCCATCACAGGGTCCCCCTTCTCCTCAGTCAGGGAGCAGCAGCCCTGGCCTCGTCCCCAGGGGTGGGCCGTCGGGGTTTGTCTTGACGTCTCACAACACCCAGCTGAAGCAGCCTGTGCAGAGAAAGCATCCCACTAACCACTCTTCTCTCTTTGCTCTTGCCCTCCCCCTGCCCCGCCCCCGGCCCGCCCCCATCGCTGTGCAGGATGAATCTCTTCAGCGTCTGCAGAAGGAGTCTGACATCTTGCAGAGAACATATGCACACTACTTCGATCTCACCATTATCAACAATGAAATCGATGAGACAATCAGACATCTGGAGGAAGCCGTGGAGCTCGTGTGCACAGCCCCGCAGTGGGTCCCTGTCTCCTGGGTCTATTAGGCCTCTCCCCAGATAGCTGAGCATAACTGGGAGCCACCTCATACATGGAAAAGCCTCTTTGTTATCGGCCTCATGGCAGCAGGTCGTGGTCCCTAGAGACTACCTAGTTGTAGTGTGACCTACATTTATAATTATTGTCATGTCCGAATAGGTAGGAGGAGGAAAAAAAAAAAAAACAATTACACACTAATTTAAAGAGACAGTATCTTTTTTAATCAGTTCTCCTAAACTTTAATAAAATGTATCTTTAAATGTATGTATTATTCAATCCTTTGGAATGTTATATTTTTGGAAATCATAGCTTTTTATTTCCAAGGCCCCTAAAAACTGCACAAAAAAATAGATGCTGCTTTCTATAATCTATTTTAATAATAATAAACAATGATTCTGTTACCTTGACTGGGGGTGGAACACTACATTCTTTTTAGAGTCTGATTTTATGAATTGGATATCTTTCTTTCCTTTATTTATTTGAAATAATTAGTGATTACAAAACTGTCATCAATTTTTAAAGGCCTTTTTTTCCTCTCTCTCGCTCGCTCTCTCTTTCTCTCTCTCTTTTTTTTAGAATAGTATTTTTTTTAAGTCCTTTATGTAACATCCAGATAATGTGATACTGTCTCTTTGAAGCACCCTGTAAACCTTTTAGAGATTTGAAGTTGGGTCTTGACTCTTAATGCATGTGGACAGTCGCGAGCGTCTGTGCTGTCGGTGTGTCTGTGCTGGACAGAGCAATCTGTAATCTACAGCAAAGTACATTCCGTTCACGGGGCACACCAGGGGAATAAGAATAAACTGCTATTATGACTAAGTTGTAAACCTATGCACATCCCTTGCATTTCGGGCAACTTTATAAAAAAAAAAAAAGAAACTGATTTTTATTAATAATAATCATGTAGTGAAATGTGTTTGTAATTTTGTCTCAATTTAATTTGTTGTAAGGTGGGAGGGGGAATTGCTGGTTTCACCATTTCAGATCTGTGTTGTCTAAGAGTATTAACGTTTTAATTAAGCAAAGAAATGAGGATTTTTACTCTGTATGTAATTGTTTTAAAGCACCCATTTTAAGAGAAAATACTGTGCAATGAAGAAAACAGTTTAGGCATTTGCTATAAACTGAATTATTCCAAAAGGATAATCCATAACAGCCCTGTAAATTCCTTTAAAATGATCACTAACGGGACAGTCTGACCAATTTTTTAAAAAATATACTTCCTTTTATGTGTTCAATAATTCAATGCCTTTGGGTCCTTCATTTCGCTAAGTGATTTGTTCCAGTTTCCAAGGTGATCATCTTTTCAATTTTATAATTTGCTAGATGCTCACGGAACCATCGAAGGCCCACGAATGACTATCGGTTGGCAGGGCGACCAAGCAGCCTGCCAGGGCACAGCTCAGACCACGTCTGTCTGACTCGCAGAGAGCCATGCGCCCACGGGCCACTGTGGTCTCTCTTTCCTCTTGCTGTATCCCTTGGCACAGGGGACCCATCTGTCCTTGTGGCTCTAGAGACATTCACCATCTCATCACCCTTCCATGCAGTCATATGCTTTTAGCACAGGAGATCGAGGCTGGGGGTTCGCAGACTCTTCGCCAGAGGCTGGTAGGATGTCTTTTGTGAGCATGTGAGGGTGCCAGGTGCTTACAGTAACCCATGATCCTTGAACACATCCCATCATTTTTGGCTTCTTGTAGGTTAGATGGCCTCCGTCACTTTGTGCCTTGGCAGGATGTACAGGGTGTGGCCTGAGCTGAGCGGCTCCTCTCGAAGGACCAAGCAGAAAAGGCATTTGTATGCTTCTTTTATGTTGTCAACACCCTAGCCCCCACCTATGATTTATTAAACCATACTGGCATTCCTCCTCTACCCCCACCCCCCAATGCTCTTTGTCAGTCAGAGAGGTGACCAAACCACCAGACCAGAAACAGGCTTAACAATGGTCTCACCTGACATAGAGAGGCACCTTCAAAGAGTTGTACAGCGCTGATTTCAATCTGACCAGTGCCAAGGCCAGATGGTCCTTCCTATAAGGAGGCAGACCACAATCTGGGCACTTCTCAGTGTGAAGCGCCCCCTCTACCTCTTAGCAGTGAAGCACAAAGAATACAACTGCATATGGAAAACCAAAACTTGATTCCCTCTGGGAGAAGTCCCATGCGCCCACTGGCCTCTTTGAGACCTAACTTCCCAGGACGCTGATGATGCCCTTCTGAGAAAGCCAGTCACCAAGCTTGGAAGGGTGCATTCAGCAGAGGAGAGAAAAAGCAAGGCTACATGAGAGATGTGGCCCCAAAACCCAGAGGCCCTGTCGGCCTGTCTTCTCTTCTCCGTCTCTTGATGGTAGGATGCTGTTGTGCAGATGGCAATATGTCTGCACCCAGAACTCATCCACTTCTCCCCTCAAGCAGTGTCTGTGAGCTAGCAGAAGTACTTACATTTTCGAATTCGGAGTAATTTCAGTCCACCACTGCTGCTGCCGCTGTATTACAATCGTGCACTAAGCAATTAGAGAAAATTGCTAAAAAGCTTCTTTACTGCTCCCATTCCATCAGCAAAACCATTCTTTTTTTTCCTTCTAAAAACCAGAGCCACTGATTTGGTTCCTAAATCAGGGGAGTGGTCAGTTGAAATCCTGAGCCCCACTCCCCAAGCAAGAGGAATGTTTGTGTTGTTAGATTCTTTGCTAAAATGATTAAATGTCCTGATTTTCTCATCATAAGATAGCAGTTCATTTGCACATACAACATATTCAGTTTTCACACTAAAAAGGAAAAAGGTTGCTCAGTTAAATTCATCTGGAAGTTTCCCAGTGTCAAGACAACACAGGAGGCTTTTCAAATGCGATTCAGTGTCTCCTGTCACGTGAAACAGTTGGAAATATTTGCTCAGAGAGGAAAGAAATAGCTGACCTACTTCTGGCTATTTGCATGCAGAAGACATGGTCTCGGGCCATCCTATTGGTGGCAGAATATCAGAAGATGGGCAGAGTCCCCTGGCGCATAACGCAACACGCAAAGCGCTTCCTGAATCCAATTCCTTCTCTGGCTGCTGGGGCCAACCAGGCCTGCACTGGGTGCTACTTGTATCTTTTTAAAACATTTAATCTCATCACCACGGAGGACTTATGTTTGTCTTTACATCACTTACAGTTACCTCTTCATCAAGCCTTCAATAGCTTATTTCTTGCAAAAGTTCAGTCGATTGAGCCACCATCCAGGAAGCAGGACAGCAGAGATACCCGAAGCAGAAAGTAACCCTTCAGAGACAAGGCAGCCCAGAGCTTTTTCGTTTGTTTGTTTTTCTTGCCTCTGATAAAATGATCCTTTTTTTCCTTTCAGACCCATTTCTTTGTTTGGGGCAAAGAGAACTTGCTGCCATGGCTATGGAAAAAACTGCCCGATTCATACATTCTTGACCGCAGTGGCACCTTGCAGTCAGCATTCCAAAAGCAAGCCCCTTGTGCTCCTTCCTCCTTGTTCATTCTGGCTTGGGTGTGACTGTGTGTGCATGCACATGTGTGGAGGGAGGATGTGTGTCTTACTTTTCACAACTGAACGCAGCCTAATTCCATCCTCTTTTCAAGGGCTTACAATCCCACCTATGACCGGTCCCTGCACATTTCTCTCATTCCACACCTCTAGTGGATTCTTCTCTTAGAAAGATCCTTCCCTTTTCCCAGCAGCTTACAGAAGGGCCCCCTTACCTTCCCCATGGCTCACTTCATTTGCTGGAGCACACCCTTTTCTTATCACTTTAGAAATAAGGTCTCCTCCTCGGTCCACTGTCCCCTTCACCGTGCTGTACCAGTGAAGGCCTAGTGCATGATGGGCTTTGCTCCTCAGTTTGCCTTAAACCTGGAAACAGAAAGCATCAGATTGTCCAGCTTAGGGAGTGAGGCTTACTGCCACATCCATCTGGGAAGTGCTTGCCACCTCTTTCCATCCGGCCTTTTACCTGGCCATTTTGGGGCTTGGGTAGATGAGCAGACATGGCCCAAGGCCCAAGGCCCAGCCACAAGAAGAGGGCAGCCCCATCTCTAGCACAGGCACCCCCATGTCTTAGCTCTTCTGGGTGGGGGCAGGGAGAGGGACTCCTGAATTCCCATCACCTTTCACGCAACCTTCCATCAACTCCCTTGAACCTGTGCAAATGGACGGAGCAAACGAAAATGGAAAGAGAGATTTTTGTCACCACATGGAGACCTCATTTCTAGCCCCAAGCACAATGCTATCTTAGAAACTTGGAGGTCTGCTCACACTTGGGGGCCACCTGCACTCTGGCTGGCGTGTGACTGAAGCAACATTGTCAGGGTTCCAACCTTCTTCCTGGAGGCCTGGGCTGACCATCCATGCACCCAGAAGATACACAACCTCCGGGCACACACTTGTGTTTGGGAGTAAAAACTCCTCCACAGTGAGTGGCCCCATTTACTTTTTTTTCTCTCTCTCTCTCTCATTTGGAGGAGACGGAGACTAAAAGAAAGACTAAGGGAGAATTGATTTCCAGTCTCAGCTGTCAGCTGAGTCCCGGAAAGTCATGTGTACAGGTGGGCGGCCGGCTGCCTGGTGCAGCAGGCAGTGTGACTTGAGACCAAGGCCACACACGCCACGACCCTCCCAGGCTGAGAAGCCGAGCCCATGGCGTTTCATTGCAGAGTAGACGCGTCGCCTTTGAAACCCAGTTCTGGGGTGGTTTTGCATCAACTTTCGCCAACGTGTTCTTTTTTCTGTATGTATTATTGCCTTTTTATAAAAGGTTTCGAAGTATTGTCTCAGTGATAAAACGAGAGAGATGTGAATGGTTGTTGTATATTTCACCACTTCCCATTGTAAGTATTTGCAGGGTACAGCAAAGCCTTAGCTTGCAAGAGCGTCTGTGAAGGTGTCCTTCAACAGCCAGGAGCTGAAGGGGTCGGAAAGGTTCGGATTCTCTGTAAATGTCCTGCTTTTCTTTCTCTCTGTGTGTATCTATTTACATGCCTTAGCACATGCCCTCCCGTCCTGATCCCTGCACCCTGTCGCCCGGAGCACTGGAAGGCTGGTGCGCTGCCAGCATCACCCAAGTTGCTGAAACCCCAATCAGTTCTCTTGTGTGACAGGGGAAGAAGAAAAAAACCCCATAGTATTCTTTGTAGAATATACATACTTGTAGGATGCTGTGTAATGGGAAACCATAGAATTGGGCTTTTGTCATTTCAAAGTTGGAGAAATGTATGAATAAAATGTATAAAACATGAAAAGTCAGTCGTCTCCTCAGATTGTAGGCCAAACAACATGGGAACAAGCAACAATACAGTGGTGTGAGAAAAAAAGATGGCCTGGTTGCTACAGGCCCCTCACAGGCCTTCCCCTCACTGGGGGCCGGGGTCATAGGGACCACGTGCCAGGCTCCTGGGGTGGGTCTTGGAAGCATCAGTCTGTGCCCATGGCTGTCAGACTGCATCCTGAGAGAAATTCAAGCTCAGTTGCTTGTGGTGGGATACAGATTCAAAACAGCATTGGTATAAACGAAAAGGGGAAAATTCCCAAGTTGTGATGTCTCCCACAAATAGGAGTCCACATTGATTGTAGTGGCGTAGGCGCCTGTTTGACATGTCTTTCCAACGCTGTAGGGGGGAGCCTGCCCCAGAACCGTCCCTCTGCCTGGTGCCTCTGCTGCTTGGTGCTTGGACATATTTGCTGGTTGGAGTCTGGGCTTGGTGCCCTGACAGTCACACTCACCTGGTGCACTCACTGTCTTCGCCCTGCCGTTTCCCAAGCAAAGAACCATACTGACTTCTGAGTCCCACACTGGCATGTGTCACACACACACCCCCAGAAAAAGCCTGGGCTGAAGGGGGCTTACCTAGTTTATTTAAAGAAAAAGAGGAAGAAAGAAAAGACCCATATTAAGGAAACCTAAATCATGAGTGGTATCTACTCAAGCGGATTTCATGGTACCAAAATAGATCACCAAGAATCTAGGCCACATTCAGACATGAGAAACTGAGCCCCTAGCCCGTTTGAGAAATCCCGGCACCTTGCCTCAGATGTCTCAGCCTAAAGACACGGAGGACTGAAAGCCTATTGCTACCATGGAGCGATTTTGAACTTCATGGTGTTGAAAACACATCCACCATGTCAGTGTGCAGCTGGTAGAAATGAATATGAATGTGTGTGCCCAAGCCTCTTCCCAGTTGATAAGCTAACTAGATAACACTAGGTGTCCTTCTGGGAGCTACTGTCGCGGCC